AGGTAGATTCTATAACTCACGAAGTACGACGAGCTAATGCTTATTAGCTCACCTATGAGCATACTGTGAGTTCATAAACAACATTTCTGTGACCAGCTACTTTTCATTGCAAAGAAAAACTTCTTCGGATTTTAAGGGCTACAGTGATAAGTCAGAACTTTCGTATAGTTTGTTGTATCTATAATATAAATACTTATTTACAGTGTATTAATTGTGCTTGAAAATTATATTAAAAAAATTAGCTCTCAGATAACTAATACAGTCTTACGTACTTTGATCTTTGAAAGTAAAAGTAAGAACTCCCATATGTACTTTTCAGTCATCTACGAAAACGGAATAAATCAGCAGAAAAAAACAGGACAAAAATTTTGATGTCTGGTCCTGCCTCCCACCAAGAAAGAAAAAGCCAGCAGGACAAAACAGGACCGGGCAGAAAAAGTTATCCTGTGCTCATCTCTGGTTAGCAATTTCAAAAAATTCTAATGCATTACTTTCAGATTCTTTTCTTGTTATTCATATAACATTCTAGGACAAAACTAAAACGATATTCACAATAAGTGTGTGAAACTTTGTCAAATGATGTACGTTTGAATACATCTGTTAAGGAAAAATTTCTTTCAAAAAACATGACTGAGGTCTCTTCTCAGATAATTTTTGCGAAAACTTGTTTTCGAAACAAGTGGTTTATTTCCTTAAGCCCCCCCACCCCCTCAGAAATGATTTCCCATTTAGAATGAGCCTTTTGAGCTGAAAATTTCAGAAATCAGTGATCCTGGAGAGATGCGTCTCTGATAAAAATTTCAGCTCATTTGGCCGTACTAGACCGGAGTTTCAGCTAATTCATAGGCCATTTTTGACCTTCAGGAGAATCTGGATAACGTTGTCGCAATACGAGATATAGAGCTCGGGGTGATTTCAAATTAAAGCCAATGTCAGTACGCAACTTTTTATTAACCAGAATTTTTAAATTCCGTATTATTCATTTTTTATGAATATTTTAGTAAGCATGTCTTAAAAAAAGCATAAAAAACAGCGATCTGACGACAGTAAATTTCACTTTTCTCAGCCCAGGAATCAGTTTTAAAAAAATTGGTGCATGAAAAGTTTCCTTTCATTGAGACGTTTAAAATAAAAAAAAAGATGTGTTATATCTTGAACCGTGCGTGAGTTACCTCAATTTTTCTGACTGAAAACTATGTTTTGAGAAAAACGCCAAAAGAACTTTTAGAAATGGATTTTTTCATTCAAATGCAGGAAATAATGGTATATTGATAATAAATATGTGGAATTTTTGAAAGCACGCAATAGATACCGCAAACTAATACTACAGGTCGTACTATATGATATAAGAATGTTGATTCCATGTTGATAGAAGTAAAAAAGTAGTGTTCCTCAAAATAACAAAAACCGCGAAAATCTCTCCAAAAACCGGGTAGTGAGATGGAAATCTCCTATGAAAGTCGGGAAAAATTTGGCTTTTTTTTTTAAATTCATATATATTCTGAAAGAGGAAACTTCGCTGCATCTTCCTATGATAAAAACTCGACGTCGATTACTTTACCAAAAAATGGATTTTCTGAAGGGGGGGCCCCCCTCTTTAAAGGAGGTTTTTGTACATAAAATATAATCACTTCCAAGCAATTAAAACTTGTTTTTTTTTCTACTACAAAAAGTACATGTTCGTCTACTATGCGAAAATTACCTGCTGTGATCATGTCACTTAGTTATATTTACCATCATTCTGTTATTATCAATATTCTTCATACGAAAGAAAATCTATAGATTTATTTTTTTTTTCTCGTATCCAACAGCGTCTAACAGACAAGTAAATACTTCACAAATCACAACTACTTACAATGAAGCATTGAGAGCATCACTTCGTATAGTTCTTTTTCATTTATGTTACACCTTGTGACATATATTGTGTTGAGTTATATATAGCCATTAAAATTCTGTACGGTGCTACGTCATTCGTATATGACTTTATTAAACTATAATTTTCACTTTTGTTTTCTTTCGTCTTCTCAATGCACGCCAAAATGAATTTTCTCTCTCATGAGTGTGTTTTAAAAAACAGAACGACACAAGTACCTCGATGGCTGAGTAAGTGATTGATTTATTTTCCCTAACCCTATGAAGAACAGTTTGTAGTACAATATTCTTACGTTCAATAATTAAAATAATTTCTATTATAATTAATAGTTTGTGATTGATAAAAAAATTCCCAATGGAATATAAAGAGATTGATGAATTTTTTTAGAAAAGTCACTGTTATAGAAGAGAATGAAAGTTTATATCTTCTTTTTTTGAATATTATTATAAAAGAGAGCAATATGAAACCATGAAGATTTGAATAGAATATTTATAAAGCTTGACAAACTATGAATGCGTTGTTCAAGCATTACATTTGAACACAAGCATACATATTACTATTTAATTAAAACAAAAGAAAGCAACGAACATGTAAAGCAGGACTCAGTGGCGGATTTATGGGGGTGGAGATTAGGCAATCGCCTTCCCCTTCCAGAGATTTTTTTTGTTTTTTCTCAGCAAAAACGCACGAACAACTGGTCTTTACTACCTCGCATAAGTATCAAAAAGTGATTTTTCACTATAACCGTCACATCTTTCGAAAATCGCCCTGTCCTTCTAAAATTCTAGATCCGCCACTGACAGGACTTGTATAAATTATATCCGATAATAACTTATTAGTTTTATCATTAATAATGATGAGATAGTTACAATTGAACAATAATGAATGGAACAATAAAATACAACACATTTAATATTTATGTTACCGAACAACGTTAACAAAACAAAATCTAATATTTTCTGTGTTTTATAAAAATAAATTTTCTTTGCAATATAATCATAAAATAAGTAGACGCGAGAGTCATATTTCAACATCTCAAGTACAAACGAATACTTTTACTTTTTCTGTTCAGAATTTTTAGCAAGAACAGTCGACAAAATAAAACTAGATGTCATGAGTAGCAATAACAACATAAATTAATTATGTATATTTTTGTCTTTATTCGTCTACGAAGAATAGAACATGAATAAACCAATCGTATCATTTAGTGTACGAAAAACAGGATTTAAGAAGATAAGCTATTTATAAAAATGTATGTAGCTTATCTTAACCGAAAAACATGTACGCAATGATGAATCGATTAGATCAAATCCAAAACGATCTCAATATTTCTTCCTTATTAATACGAGTAAAGTAAAACCAGATTAAAAAAAATCGTGGATTGGTACAACATAAATTCCTATTTCATGTAATAAAAGTTTCTGTGTTGTCTACCATGTTGAAGCAGATAAATGTGACAGGAGCTCGTGTATAAGATTCTTTTTTTTTTAATAATGATAATTAAGAAGACTTCCTAAAATAGCTACTATAATTTGAAAGATTAAAAAAAACCACGCAGAAATATTTTTAATTTTTGTATTCATTGTTTTTCAGCTCAGTATCCTGAAAATTCGACATACTTCCGATTAAATATATGGATTAAAATTACAATATCATAAATAATTAAGAGATATTGTATGTTATGTCATGTCTGAGACATTAGTTTCTTCAGAAACCTTTTAATACGTTGAGTTTTTCATTACCAGACAAAGGATTCAGATGACAATCGCTTAGAACAAGATAAATAGATTTAAGTAAGAAGTCACCTAATTTCCGCTATCCCTAATGCAATTTCAAATAACTTCTTCTTTTGTTTCCTGTCGGTGTTAAGTTTTAAAAATTCCAACCGAGTCTATATTTACTGCTAACAGAATGTCTTTTCTCATACCGTCATTGGCATTTCGATCATTATGACTTGAAAGTAAAGTCATATAACATCGTTTATAGACTCAAATCAAGATCATATAAATATGATACAAATTGAAAATGTAGTCAAATAAAACGAAATCCTAGTAAATCTTTTAGATGCATATTTTTGGCAATAGTTAATCTGTTCCATTCAGTTAGCAGTTAGAATTAAAAGATATGCGTCTTAAAAATCATTACGATGACGTAGGCAACAGTCTGTATATTGATTGAGAACAAGTCCTTACGTCAATAAATACGTCATGAGAAGACTCATTCTACAAATTCAAAAGAGAAGAATTCAATATAGTACGTCACAAATGATTCAGAGAGTTCGTCATACGTCATTCTGATTCATTATGACTCATCTCAAGTTGTAAGAAGTCACTAAAAAGAAAATCAATAATGCTGACTCTGTATTGTTGGTTGAAGCGTTTTCTTTTTCTTTCCTTCTCTTTTGCAGATATATTTATAATGCCAAAGAAAAAAATCAGATTTATTTTTGTAATACTAAGCACATGCAACCATAATAGGATAATTGTGTCGATCGAATAGTTCCTAATGATGAACAATAATAGATTAAGACAAAACAAGAAATTTTCATTTTAATATTCCAGAAAAGGACAACATTACAATTTAGTTTGTATAAACAAAAAAAGGTAGGTGCATAGAAGAGATAAAGAGTATTTTATAGAAAAACATTTCTTGTAACATTTAATAAAATATCATTGAATTAAATATTTAAGTGTAAGTTAAATAATCAAATAGTCACTATCAATTGTAAGAGCATTCTATGCAAATGTAAGGTTTGTTTATGCAATAAAAAAAAAGAGAAGGCGTCATCTAGACGTAGCGGTTTTTTTTCTTGCGGCGGGCAAGGTTGTCCTCTTATTTTCTTATTTTTTTCTTTATTCCTCTATATTCAGGTAAGAACAGAAGAAAAACAAAGCACCATAGCATGGTGTTGCTAAGCATTGCATATATATCTACATATAGGAGAGCAAGAGACATGAAAATATTTTTTTTAAATTCGTTCATATTGAAGTGTTCCCATAGTGAAACAACTTAACTAAAGTATTGGAATGTGTGCTTTATTTCCTATATAAACATTCGAGATCAAATCACTTATAAAATTCTTTTTTATCATTGAAGTTTTATACATAAAAACATTACTGCGATATAAATGGCTGCTAGAGGATCTGGTTCGGCGCGAAGAGCACTAGCAAAAAAATTTGGTAAGTTGATCGAAATCGTTTGTTTTTCTCTTCTTACAGTTGTCATGTTAAATAGAAATAAAATTTTCATATAGTCTACTATTATTAAAATTCTATTACTATTGATTTGAAATAATATTTAACTGTCTGTTTTTTTTTAGGTAATTTTACAATCACATGTCCTCATTTGACTGATGAAAAAAAAGAAGCGACTACTTACACGTAGATATAATTGTTTTTTCTTTTTTCTATGATCGTGTTTTTAAAAAAAATATTTATATAAATAGTCTTGAAGTACCTTCATTAATGACAACGCTTACTTATCATGGACAAACTATTGAAGCCACTACTCAACAATTTGATATTCTTCGTGTACTTGGACGTGGATGTTATGGAACAGTACTGGCTGTAACAATTGAAGGACATCCAGATGTTCAAATGGCTGTTAAAGTAATAGATTAAAATAGATTTTCATGATTATATATACATGATTTTTTTGTTACAGAAAATAGCACTTGAAACACAAGAAGAACGTCGAGCATCCACATATACAGATTTAACAACAATTCAAAATGTTGGTTCACAAAATTATCCATATATTATTTCTTATTATGGAGCAGTTATCGATAAAGTAAAACTATATATTTCGAAAATCTATGTTTTGATTTTTTTTAAATTATTTTTTTAAGGAAGCTAGTGAGTTACTTATTTGTGTAGAATTAATGGACGCATCAATGGATAGATTTTATCAAACAATGCATTCACTTAATAATGTTTCATATACAGATCTTGATCATGTATTATGTCGTTTAACTCATAATGTAAATTTATTTTTCTAACTATTATTTTTTTATAAAATACTAATATTTATTTATTGATTAGATAACATCAGCCCTCCATTTTCTTAAAACTCGTCGAATCTTACATCGTGATGTTAAACCTCAAAATATGCTTGTTAATAAACAATCAGTCTTTAAATTATGTGATTTTGGTATTAGTCGTCAAATGCGTGTATCACAATCAATAGCTGTTGGTGCCGTTCAAGGTACTGAAGCATATTTACCAGTATGTAAAAAAATTTAGTTTATATTTGAAATCATACACATATATATATATATATTGATTTAATAGCCTGAATTGATTGGTGATGGTAGTCAACCATATGGTATTCGTGCTGATATGTGGGCACTAGGATTAAGTTTATTTGAAATCGTTGCTGGAAAACAACCATTTGCAAATATGAATTCATTTCAAACGATGAAAACAATTCAAGCATGGACTCCAACAATACCAGCAAATCCAAAAATTTCAAATGATATGAAACATCTTATTACACAATTGTATGTTTACTTATATGTTCTGTTTTGTTTTATATTCTTAAGATATTTATTATTTACTTTTAGACTTAAAAAAACTGTCGAAGAACGACCAAAGACTTATCTTGAAATACTTGAAGTATCATCAATAGAAAGTGTTAGTACAAATCCATCTAATGAAGAAATAACATTTGTAACTCATATTCTTGATAATATCCCTCCATTAAATGAATAAGAAAAATATTTAAAAATATTTTTTGTCTTTTATATCTAATAAAAATATTTTATTTTTCACTAAACGTACACGTTTTCTTTTATTTATATCGGATAATATTGATCGATTTCGTATACACATTCTTGATTCGTATATATTCAAAAAATGATTCATTTCATTTGGGTAATGCTAAAGTTAACAATCATTCCATTGTAGGAATGCAATTAAGTATACTATTGTGTACACTTAATTAGCATAGTCGAATAGTTGGTGTAACAGGAACAGAAAAAAACAACAACTTTTGAGTATTAGTAAAATACGCTCTAAGTTAAAAACTCATACAAATAAATATTCAGAAAAATGAAGTTGTAGTAAATATCTGATGGTTCTAGTTAGTTCAAAATATGCAGCAGATCTACATTTGACTTCATTTTCCAAATATTTATTTTGTTGAATTTTTCACTCAGAGAGTATTTTACGCATATCTAAAAACTTTACAATCATTTACATAAAACTTAAGTGATAAAGGTATATTAGTTCTATTCTAGGCTATCTATCACTACTTATTAGATCGGATCTTACAAATAATAGAATGTTATGAACAATTAGATAGTGAAAACTGATTACCACATCGATATCCATTTGAATTATTAATTCATTCACGGATTCTATCGAAAGAGTTGTTCAAATAAAAATGTTCTCCAGATATATCTAGTTTGTCAAAACGTTGCGATGTATTTTATTATTTAAATATATCGATGATAGTGATTTACCATTATTAAATCTTAAAGATTTTATTCAAGTTCTTCAATCTATACCAGATGAAGACAAATATGAGATTTGAATAAAACTATGAGAAATTTGTTCTTTCATTCATAGGTACAGTTCTACCTAAAACAATTCAATAGCTACATTATTTACACTAATGTCAGAAAACAAGTGATAGTGAAAAAACTAAAAATTAATCATGTTTACCAAAGAAATATATATTCTTTTTCAGCTATTAATTGAACTACTTTGACAACAAATTAAAATTATTATTAAACTTATTCAATTAAAAAGTATTGGATTTATCTGTTGTTGTATACAAAATTTCAACTGATGTTCTATCATCTACACTAACTCCATTGACTTTTCAAATTACAACATAGTTTACAAGCATGAACTGATAGAAAAAAAACTAAATAACATGTGAAACAGGGCTTTGCATTGTATGGGACTTCATGTTTGTCAAATATCTTTTTTAAATTCTTAACACATCTATCGTTTCCATTAATATTCATCAAATTTTACATTATTTCATTTTGTATTTCATAATATTATTATAACCAAGTTCTCATTTCTTTTACTTATTTTTGCAATGAAACAACACGTTTCATTCTCTCTATGAATGTAAACTGTTTCTAATTTCATTTGAGTTCCATCGCCATCTAATGACGAAAATCTTTGTCTTTGTACCAGGAGATAATTTTTGAGCACAACTATGTGTGTTGAGTATACGTGTATCAGAACTCGATATAAATACATATGATTGAGAGCATGATTGACAACTGGCCAAGTCTGAAATTGATTCAAATTTATTCTTTTATCCGAGATTTGTTGACTGGAAAAACAAAAATTTGCAAAAAACAATCGAAGATAATTTATTCTATGAGTTTTTAATGACTTTATAATTCGATGGATCTATTTCTAATCAGCGAGTAATTCGCTCAGTTGTAAATTCATAAACAGCTGATGAAGAATCAACAATAAAAGATGAAAATCAAGTGATGATAGAAGAAGACTAAACAGTGGCCAAGTTTATGGAATCAAGTTGATTGGATTGGCATTGAACAGGAGACAACGACTTAACTGAAGACATACTATCGATTGTAAGCAAAAGCAGAATCAAATCCTTTATTACTATTATAAAAGATCGAGCTGGGTTATTACTTTATATGTTGATATAATGTTTTTTCATCGAATCACAATGGTTACAGTGCTTAGTTACTTCCAGAATAGGAAAAAAAGAATTATTTTGCACCTCTTTCGCTGAAATAGGCGAGAAACACATCTGTTTCAAAATAATTGTGTTGTTCCTTAAAAAAAAAATTCGGCAAAAGACATTTGCTCCATAGGATGGCATCGTCCGATCTCAAGCGGAGCCCTGATGCGAAACATAAATCATTGTAAAAATACCAAACTCCACTTAATCATATTATTGATTTTTAGACCTATCAAATTTTTATTTTTTTGTTAGATTATACAATAAATATTTTTCAAGAACAAGTCTCAGGAATTTTCAAAGCGAAAAACCAAATCTTTCTAAAAAAAAATTGTTTTGCTTTTTGATAAGTCTCTATTTTTTGGTTTATTTTTGAACAATATAAACTGAATTTTAACAGAAGAAAAATCAAATAGTCTATTACAAATATAATTCGCTTGCAACAATATTAACTGTTGTCTCTAGAAACCATATGCAAATGTTTTTTGTTTTATTTGTGCAAAATATGTTATGTCATAGAAACGTAAGAGAAAAATATACTTCAAAAACTATATCTTATCATTGCAAAACGGCTCAGTAATGAGCAACAGCAAGTTATTCAATATCTTTCAGTAAATTGAACTTTCAATATACCAATCAAAAAGAACATTCTTTAAAGCTATAAGCATTCTCGTGACATATGTTTGTTCTATTGTCTTGTAATATAAAACAAAAACAATTTACAAAAATTAGAAAATGATTTTTCTCGACAATGAAAGTGCAACAACACTTTTAAAGGGATATTTACTTTTTAATTTGTAACGTTTTTCAGATTAGTTCTTGAAAAAATATATTTCGTAAAATACCTTATATCTCATACTGTTCTTTTCAAGCAAAAAAAAGAAAGATTTGATTGATTTAGAAGTCAGCATTATTAGTCTATTCGAGTTTGACATTAATGAAAAGACCTTGGCGTTGGATGTTAATTCATAATAAATTATCATAATTGGAATTTGTCTTATCAGCAAAAGATCGAAAAAGATATTAAATGTCAAAAAATTTTCTTATTGATGAATATTATCATACCGATGATTTATTAACACGTTTGAGTATTGCGGAGAAGCATTTGTTATTTTACTCAATGGAAATGGACTACTGACAATGTTATGTGTATCTTCTTGTTCTTCCATTAGTATACTGATAATTATCGTTTGAGTTATTTGCATGATATATACATCTGAATCATGTATGACTGTTCTCAAATCATAAGAGATTAATATACTCGTTGTTCGTTCTCAATTAATTGCGAAATATGTCGAAACGATTGATTAAAAAGAATGCACATGAAATTTTGTCATGAAAAATTGATTTAATTCAACGATCTAACTTCAAGTCAAAGAATAGTGAACGTGCTGATAGAAAAAAACACTCTCAAAGCGTAGAACTAATTTAACTGAAAATGAATTTTCAATTTTAATAAAGATCATGAGCGAAGTAGTAGTGTAGCATTGTCAATCGTTCGGCAACGAACTACATCAGATAAAAAAATGAATAACATAGCTTCGAAGGAATCTATCTCATTATAAATCCATAGAACAGCTTTTAATGCATTTACAAGAAATATATTCAAGACATTAGGCTTACACACGATTAGAAGAACAAAAAAGAACAAGTAAGAATGGCGATAAAGAGATAAAATATTGTTTCGAACTCGTTCTACTAAATATTATTATTAAAAGCATTGTACGCATATCAATAGAATCCATGCATAGAAAGTGAAGAACATTTTTCTTCTTTGCCTCTTTAAGACAAATAATTTATGTATACTTTGTATGTGTTCGTTTCTTCTTTCTACAGTTTGCTGTGAAGTTATGCACTTTGTGCATAACTAATAAACTAATAACAAATAAATCACATATTGAAAACCACCATAGAAAACTGAATTGATCTATGTTTGTTATAAAATTTTCCAACAGCTTTTATTTCTCCTAAAAATTCAATCTCGATTCCTTTCAGAGTTAAATCATAAAATAAAGTCATCCGAAACATTGGTTTTATTCCATATTCATCTTTATTTTTGGATTATCCTAGTTCTTTGAAGACTTAGCAGTGATATTTTATAGTCACAGTGATGTTTGAGGTGACTTGAGATTTTAGCATAATTCTGAAAAAGAACCAGTGGTGGGCTTTTAGACGAAAATGAAAGTTTTCAACCAATTTTGTGACGAATATAGATCAACCCAGGTTTTTATGCTGATACCAAATGTATCATCTATTTTTTATTAGAACGGTTTAATTATTCTGATCAAAATCGGTCAAATATCAGTCAAAAAAAAACATTTTATAGCACTCATGAGCATTGTCCATTTCAATGAATTGTTTATATACAAAAATTAAGGTCGATACAACAGTACCATTTTGTAGACATTTTACAGACCTATCAAATAGTTTATAGTTTAAAGTACATCGCTGCTTTCAAAGCACAATAGAGAGAGGAATTTTGTTATGCGTATTCTCTTATTGTATATACAAATGGTCAATCATATTTAAAGAAAAAGTGAAAGAAACGTACTTTGTCACATTCCTATATACTATTCAATAGAAGAAAGATTGATATATAATTTAAATTAACAGAGAGAAAAACTTTTTAAACGGAAACTGCAGAGTATGATACTATCGGAGATAGATAGATAATATTAAGTTTTGAGTTAAGTTGCGCACAGCCCGAATGAGATTTAACTGTCTAATTAGAATTGCAATCGATTCTTGCCATTTAAGTTGATTATTAGAAAAATGAGAAGAACAATTTCAAGAGAGGAAACAATTGCATTGTTTAACAAGCTCCTCCCCTACTTTTTATTTAAATTAAATAAATAAACATATTTAAACTAGTACATTATATAATTTATTTCGAACAGTTTGTTGCACAGCTTCTTTTTCCCAATTTTCTAATTCTCGTTCATTAATATTAAATAAATCATTTGTATTCGATATGGGATTATAAAAGTGAAATGAATCATCTTCATTCAATGAAAATCTTGATTTAAATTGAAATGATTTTGAATCTTTATAAATATTGAAATACCACTTTTCAAGTTGAGTATGTTGTGTATCATTTTCTAATGTATAATGATAACATTGATCACAAACAAGTAGAATAACATTTTTAATTTGAATATCTTTTGGATATAATACTAAACCAATTTTTGGTCTTTTACATGAACAATTATGAATTGAACAACTAAATAAATTTGACAGAGTTGATGTTTGTTTATTATTTGAAACATTTTGATTATCATTACAATTTAAACTTAAATAAGGTTCTGTCCGATGCATTATAGATGATAATATCATGAATTTATAATTCGAATATTGTTAAGAACTATGAAAAAAAATTTTTTTAAGGTTTAGATAAAAATGACAAATAACTAACTTGTATTCAAGATACGATGAGGTAAAGATATCTATCTTTTTTTGTTATTATGCGTTCCTCAAGGGTATAAATATCCATCTTATGACACAAGTCTATGACAAAAGCAAATATTACGCAAAATGATAATGTGTATTTTGTGATTAATATAAACATATTTTAGGTTTATTGTTAAGATTTAACATTATGCGAAGTTGATATTATTAGCATAATGAAAAAATGTCATGCTTGCCACATTCTTTTACTATTCTCAATGTAAATTTTAGACAACAATATACATAAAAGAAGTCATGTAAGACAAACAATGATTCAGCAACGCTTTTTTTCTCTTTTCAATTGGCCTCGATATTGTTGTTGTATGGTAATATAGAATCTTTTCTCTTTTTCTTTACTTGTGTATTTAAATCAAGGTAGGCGATATTGACACTTGTCGTTGGCGATCAATGTTTTCATTTTGGATTAGTACATTACACCTGCCTTTTCAATCAGAAAATATATTCATGACATTATTGATAAAAAAATTCTTCCGGTAGAAAGAAAAAGAATATTTGAAATCAGTTTATTTGATTCGACAATATTAACTTTTTTTTTCGTATCTAATCAAACAATGCCATAGAAACAAAACAAAAAAACATTTAATTGACGTATGAATTTTAAATCAAATTCATTGAAGTTTAGATTCAGTATTTTATTCAGCATGAAAGCAACGTTACACTAGAGATCGAGTTCATTCTCTCAGAATCAATATCATTGTGGCACATATTACGTATTGGCCCATACGGAAGTGAACACTTGGATAAAGCATTGCTTAAATTTGAATTCATATCCAATAAAAATATTTTCGATAATATTATTTACTCCAAAGAATATTCTCGTTATTAGTTCTTTTTTTTCCTTCTTGAAATACAAAACAATAAACACAAATACATACATAATATATATTAATATACATTAAACAACAATTAATAATTATATAATAACTGTTTTGGAACTATAATTTGTTATAAGAGAATCTGATGAGAATCCGTATGAATTAGTTGATGTTGGATGTGTAGATGATGTCGATGGTTCTTGTTTGGTTTCTAATATCAGATTATCTGTATGTACTCTTAAATGATCACTAAATTTTTTTAAAGGCACCCATTTCATACATTGTTTCCATAGACATCGTTGAATCTTGAAATAAAAAACAAAGCGATACATATTTTTTTTAATCAAAATAAAATCCTTTGTCATTATTACCGTAGATGAATGTTGTACATGAAAAAGACGAGCATGAATAAAAACATCTTCACGACGAGAGAATGGTTGTCGACAAGATGCATACTGTTTAAAAAAAAGGAATGTCAACGTTTAACTTACAAATATTCATCAAAACCAGAGCTCTCGATTAAGGAGAGGAATTTCTATAGTTTCATGGTAACTTTAAATAGAAACTAGATTTTGGGATGCTATTTGCCTTTCATTTTCGCATTGATTAATTTTCGTAGACTCATTTTTCCCTTTGGGTCACCACTTCTCTTCATTCTGGAAATGGAAGCACTTTCAATTCTTCCTTCCATCCTTAAAAAATACCGATTATTTTGATTAGAACTTACTTCACATCTATAGACTTGATTAATATCACATTGCAAGATTTCAATTATACCACTTTCCATTCCACAATAGACCTAATTTTAAAAAAATAAAAAATATTTTAAGTCAGAGAAAAAAACAATCCTATAGTTTATAAATACAAGATTATTTTTAAAAATCATTGAAATAATCGATTGACTTGTTGATGTTGTTAATTGTTGTATAAGTTCATGTGTTTGTATATTAAATATTTTAATAAGACCATCAAGGGATGATGCAATTAATAGATGTTGTTGCTGATTCATTGCAATATTTGTTACAGCTTTTTCAAATTCTTTATATTCATATATAATAGCACCACTGAGAAAATTATGTACAATGATTTTTTTATCTGCTGAACAACTATATAATAAATGATGAATTGAATCAACAATTAATTGACGTGGAGATTTTGTATGACCTTAATTAATTATCATAGAATTGACATATAATAAATAAATAAAATTAAAATTTATATTCTACCTGTTAATGTTAATCGTCTTTGTTCATTAAGTAAAGAAATAACAACAATAGATCCATCAAAAGATGATGCAATCAATAAATGACGACCATCTGGATCACGTGTAGCTGCTACTGCTGATACAACATATGGTGAACATTTAATTGTATGAATAACACACATCTATTATATAAATAGACAATCGAAAGAGAAAAAAAAGTTAAATGAAGTAAAAAAAAAACAAACTAAATGAACGAACTTTTTTTAAAGAAATAAATGCTACTTCACCAGAACCTAATCCAACCATTAAAATATGAAATTTAACAGCTGTACAATGTACAGGAGCAGCTAATGTTATTTCACCTTTTGGTTCATGTAATGGATGATCACGATATAATCTTACTGTTTGATCAAAACCAGCAACACATAATATTGTACCACTAAATCTTTTACAATGTGCAACTTGTAATGTTTGTGAACCACCATTTGGTGTAAATATTGGTTGATGACGTGGATGTTCATTAAGTGTTTGGATTTGATAAAATCGTACTTGTCCATTTAATGAACATGAATAAAGTAAACCACGATACATACGTAAACAAACAATAGGACTTTGATGTTTTGTCATTATAATACCAGCTCGTGGTTGTTGATATTTTGTACGTTGATAAGTTTTACCTAATCGACGACGATGCATCATACGCCAAACTTTATAATAATTTACTACTCGTGGATGATATTGTATTGATGTTATTTTTGTTGATAATAATGGATCATTATTACCAGGACGACGACGTTTAAGAACATTACCAAGAATTTCATGACCAACACTTGTTTGAGCTGTTGTACGAAATAAACCTCCGCATGTACCAAGTAAAAAGTCAATTAATTGTGGACCGGATATAGTAATTATTTCATATGATAAATCATTATCAACTTTCTAATTTACATCAAATAAACAAAAAAAAAAAAAAAACGAAATACACAATATATTCAGTATTAACAAAGTCCTATAGATAAACATGAATAATTTGATAAGTATTATACTAATGAGGAAACATTCCTAACTGTCGAACGTCATTCGACTTGATATTATGGCTACGAGTAGATCTCACATTAGTGAGATTAAGAACAACATTAAAAAAATGTGAATCTATGTTCTACTGGTGCAAAGTTATTTTTGTTACACCAAGACATTTCCGAACATATCAAATTTTGTCTATAAATAGAGTTAATAATTATTAAAACCTTCTTACTACAAGACAAAGCACTAATCAAATCTGCTTGAAAGTTCCAGTATTTCGAGAATGACAAGCTTGTTTTCTTGCAAACTTTTCATGATTATTAACTCTATTCATAGGAAACATTTCCGGACGAAATTCTTCATTTTGATATTATCGAAAATGCATTGCTCTGACAAAAATAACTCTCTACAAGCAGACTCAAATACTTTTAGGTTTTTCTTAGTCTCATATAAATTTACTCATAGTCATAACATTAGATTCGAATAGCATCTGACAGTTTGAGATGTTTCCTAGTAGGAAAATTTTTTTCATAATAAATTTCTAATAACTTATCGACTGATAACTATTTCAGAGCATTTCAATCATATATTGATTTATAAATTTTTGCATATACCTGTTCATCTGATATTCGTTCAAGTTGATCACGTACAAAGAAAACTTTCATTTCAAGTGGCATTGTTTGTTCAGGTGGTCTTTGTAAATGAATTGAATGTGAACGATTCTGTGCCTTTTTTATTGATTTATTAAGCAATTGTCGTGTCATTTTATCCATATTTTTTCTTTCAACAAAATGATGTTGTAATTTTGATTGTTGAGCAATTTGTAAACATAATTGTGAGAGAATATCACGACCACGACGAGACGATAATGAACCGAGAAATGTACAATTAAGTGAAGATGATGATGACAAAGATGATGCAGTAGCTACGCCAGAAAGATTTGCGCTTCCAGCAGTAACTTCCATTTCGGACATTCTTTCCTTTGAACGATCCAAAATATTTAATTTCTATTGAAAATTTTTATGTCAAATCTAAAACAAATATGATTGCCAATCCAACAATAAGTTAAATTGGATCTCGTGTAATTCGCAATACTAATAGCTTTCAATCTACCAATGAAACGATGTCATCTACCTCGGTGATGTTGAACAATTAATATATCGAGTAATCAAGAGTTTTTCTGCATTTTAATTACATTTACAAAAGCAATTTATATAATTTTACATGAAATAGCATTGTGTGACTGTAAAAAAGAAATAGGTAATAGAACAGCAAAAATTTTAGAATGATATTGGCTCTAAAGATGGCGCTCATTTCTCCAAGTAATTAGCGTCACTAGTTGGCTGATGCAATAAAATATAATTCAATTCCTTGAACTCACATAAATGAATAGATTTCAAAAGTAATATTATAATATTTTTTATGACACTTATAAAATTGAAATCGTTCGTTATACTCATTGATTTTTCTGTTATTAGCAAAAGGACCACAATTTTTTATGATAACCTGATTGGTATTGTTGTAGAGAATAAGTTTTATATACGATCTATTGAAATATGTTCTCTCTTGAGTAGCTTTCTTAGAAAAATTTATCAAAATTTCATTATTAATTTGAGATTGACTCATATATCGTGTTAATTGACCATTACAAACAGACACTTTAACTATATTAACTCCCCGATAGGTGTCTCTTTTCCGGAGATGTCGGGAGGGGAGAAGAATAAAGGGAGGGGGTAAAGAAATTTTAGTTGTTGATTAAAAGTTTTTGGGTTGAGTGGTTTGGGGGGGGGGGGGGGGGGGAGGCGTCTAAATAAAGCGCAGAGAGATAAGCTTGGCTAATGAAAAAATGATGTCTTCGATATACTGAATTGTTAATAGAACAATAGAATTCTGTTGACAAATGGTAAAAGCCGATGAAAAGTTTTATCATTGTTTCTGCTGTAATCATTCATCTGTTCTACTCTGTTGTGGATCGATCTTTACAGTACAAATATCATAAGTTATAATAGTTTTTTCTTATTTTGTTTTTCTAGTGTGATTTTATCAAGCGAAAATTTTAAGACAATTATTTTATTTGTTTAAATATTTGTCTTCTATTTATCATACAACAATCAACATTATCATTACTGACGTCAATTCAAAATTGTGCCAGGCAAATATATATGTTAGTAGTTTATCTTTCTAATAACGAATTTCATAAGTCTAAAGTTTTTAAACTTATATAGAACTTTATCGATTGTTAAACTTGATCACAAAAATTCTTTACATTTCATATATATATCAATAGGATAAACAAAAAAAGACATGAGAAAATTATAATTTTAATGCTATCTGTGCTATACGAATGTTTGTTAAGTACAAATCAACAAAGAAGAATATACATAACAATAGTAATTTCTAAAGTCAAGAAATAGAAGACACGTAAAAAAAACAAACAGGAAATAAACAATATCAAAATAATAATAATAATTCTTTCAATAGATCAACAGTTATTACATTGTGTATCTACTTCAGTATATTTTTTTCCTGAGCATAACCAGCAACCAGATAAAATTGGTTGATTAACAAATGCCATGAGTAAATCTTGATTAATATTTGAATTTTGTTGTGTTGTTTTTGTTGAATTTTGTTTTTGTTCTTCATCTAACATTGATAAAACATATTGTCTTAATTTTCTTAATTGTTTTTGTTGTTTTTTTATTTTTTTTAGAATTATATTAACTTTAGCTATTTTATCTTCATCATTCATATTTGTTGATGCTCTTCTTACCATATCTGTTAATTGTAAAATTCGATCAGTTCCTGTTGTATCATATTCAAGAATCCAATCCGATGATAATTCTTGATGATTATTATCATAGACATCTGAAATTGGTTCAGATTCGATTATTTGTTTATCTTCAATTTTCTTATTTGATTGTTTTTTTTTTTTTTCAAATTTTTTATGCAACCGTTTTTGATGTTTTAGTTCTTTCCTTTGTTCAGCATCGGCAGCATCTAGTTCATTGACTAACATGGCACGTTGTTCATTGACATCGTTTGGATTTTGTTGTGTTGGTATTTTAGTTGTTGAAGAAATCATAAGAGGAAGACGAGATGGAGAAGAAAGTGATGATAATTCTTCAACTTCATCACAATTATCAATAAGAAAACCTGAGTAAGGCAAATTTTTTGAATTTACTTGCAAAACTGCTTCACAATCGATGATCTAGTAAAAATTAAAATAAAAAAAAACAATCACTTTTTTTCTATTCTTTCAGAGTTAAGAAAACAGAAAATTAAGTACATGTTATTTTATGTATTTTTTTTAAAGTTCTCCCGTCAAAAATTGACCTTGAATCAGATAGATTCAAACGGCGTGAAATTTTCACGATCTCTTGGAAGTATAATGGAGAAGCTATGAGAAAATTTTCAGCTCTGTAACATAACATTTTCAAGAGATATTCAACGGACAAGAATCAAAAATAGTTGATTTGTCAACATGCAATTTTTCACGGATCTTAATTCAATCAATTTTCTTTTTTGAAATGAGCGTATCAGACTGTAACGAGCCCTTCTTTTTAATTTCTTACTTTTTATGCGGGGAAAAAGGGTGACAAGTTTAATTGCTCAAACGACTTGTCAGTGCGACCTCATGTGAAGCCAAAACGCCGAACTCACAAACTTTGACTGACATAAGTTTATGATATACTGTCAGAAAGATTAAAATTATTTATGATAGAATCAAAACTATGAAAGTTTTTATAGTTAATACATGTACTCTGAAATTTTTATCATATAGTAAATGTTTGTATTTAGAATTACTATTTTATCAATTTATTAGATTCATTTAATGTCCTTCTACTGAAAAAACTTATTAATATTGTCAAATATATCTTCAATACAAAATTTGTTTTCATCTTATGATAATCTATATGTGATATGCTATCGGATGTAGGAAATATCATTTTATTCTTTATTTCGTCGGTTCAATCACCATATTAGCCTGTTATAAACATTGATTTAAACATTCAGTAATCTTCCGAACACACTATTCCTTCTCTGAACAAACTTTCATGTATATTGCTGATTTTTGCCTAAACTTGAAATTCTGTTAGCTGATACTTTCTTAATGTCAGTCCTATTCTAACTCTGCTAGATCAATACTATCACTGCCCTACTGATCGACATCTCCAATAACATCTCCTCGCTTCATTAAATACCAAATTCAGAATGATCTATATACTGTTATTACTGACGTACCATTTCTCATTGCTAGGAAAACGTACTCAATGATCTGGGGTTTTCCTTCTTCAATCGGCAATTACGAGGGCCTAGAAGGGAAACCATAAGGTGACGAAAGTAATCAACAATTTTAGCAAAAAATCACGATGTAAAATAAAAACTTATATTGTTTATGAAAGATCGGACTATGGACTATCCTTCCATTTCGGTTTTTTTTCTTGACGAAAATTGTCTGACACAGATTCTTCATATGGAATAAAACCTAAATGTACACATACGGATGATGGCGGTGTGGGTAATAATTGTATATTCGAATATTTGTCATTTGTTGTTGGTAGAGGGTTATCAAATAAAATTCTTTCTATTGCACCAATATCATCATAATGATTAGTATCAGCAATTAAATGAAATGAACTTCCAGTGAAATTATTATTACTATTTTCTGTTGCATTCATTAGCGTAGGTATCTGATCATTAGCAAAACGCATTCGATCGAATGTTGATGAATTTATTGAAGATTTTTGTTGTTGTGGCATACGAAGCATTGTTTCTAAATATTGTGTTTTTTGTTCAGTACTTTCATTTGTTTTTGTTTTTTTTACTGAACGTATCCATGATTCACGTTCCTGTGGTATAGCAGTAATTAATGTTGATGGATTCATTGTTTTCGTACTCATCAATGGTATTGGTGATGATTCAGAATAATATGAATAAGTATCTGAATTAGATAATGGTTGATATTGATATTGTTGATTTGAAAAATTCATCTGATTTTGATTATGCAATTGATCATCATGATGAGATAATGAATATTGATAATGATGTTTATATCGTCGATTATAATCATCATTATCATCATATCGTCTATCATGACAATTGTTAGCTCCATAATATGAACGATATCGATGTTTATCGTCCATTTTATTCATATCTAATAAATAAAGAAGAAAACATCTAAATATTCTTTGTTTGTTTGTTTTTTGTCTGTCAACGAGATCGAAACATGACGAATAAATTTTATTTCTTCATTAGAAAGCGTCGAACGATAATAAAGAAAACCAAAAAAAAACGCAAACACCGAGAACAAAAGAGAAGATACATGCACAAGAACAAAAACAAAAATCCGTTAAAAAAAACGAAACATAATTTATATATTTTACATACAAAGGTTTAATAATGCTCTAAATTATATTCGAAATACATATAAAGAAGAACCAAAAAAAAAACAAAAATAGAACGCTGTACAAAACGAGGCAAAGCAATGTATTTATTTTTCTTCATTCCAAACAGTTTCGTTTTGTTTCTGAGACAAAAAACAAGAAGAGATTCTATCAACGAGAGTACAAAAAACAAAAGAAGTTTATCTACAAACTAAAAGAATACGAACGACAGTATTGTATTGAAATATAAGAATAATGCACAAATGGAAGAGTCATTCGTAAAGAAAAATCATTGAACGAAAAAAAAAAAAAAACAAGATGAAAAACATTTTTTCTTTCTTTATAAATCATTTATTGACACATATCGTAAACGTTTATGTAATGATGGTGAATGTTCGTCAATAATGAATGAAAAACGATATTGTTCATTATTCATTGTATGTGTTTCACGTTCATAACGAACATATAAACAATCATCATTTGAACGTTTTTCAATTGAATTTGTATTTGATATTTTCGGAAGGATAATAGCTGATGAATTTGTTGAATTTGAAGTTACTTGGCATGATGATACGGGTTTTATTGTTGATGGTACAACAATTAATGTTTGCTTTGGTATTGTTTGATGACTAGATAGAGAATCTTTTGAAGATATTTTTTGTGTACGAATTGATAATGATGATGAATTAAGTATTGTATCAAATGATGGTAATTGCTCTGAACTATTACTTATTATTGGACGTGAAAAAACTTGACATGTTGAAGAGTTTTGATGATCAATTGATGATGATGGCTGAGAAGAATGATGAATTACATAAGATGATATTGGTGATGAACGAGAATTTGAAACTAAAAAATCAAAATTAGATTTTTTTTTTGTTGTAGAAAAATTCATTAAAAAATAATGAGTGACGTATAAAGAATGAAGGTCTCAGTATATTCTCTGCGTTCCATAGATTCGGATGAAACTTGTTTTTTAAAAATTCAGCATTTAATTCTTTACAGAAGAATATACACATGAATATTACAGGAATGAAGATTATTGCAGTAATACTACGATTATGCTACATCAACAACTTTCAAGCACCACATACAGTTGTATTGTATTTATGTGTTCTCATGTCTAGCTATGTAGACCAATTCTCCTATCAATTTTGTAGAGCTTCAATATTTGATTATTATGGTGAAGCATGTTCATAACGAAATCTTATTACATAAAATATAGTAGTCAAAAAAAGTCTTGTTAACCAGGTCAACACAGCTTTGTATTTCAGATAAGAATATCTTAATATAGACAACAAATCTCATGACATTAGCCAGTCTCACTCAACAGCTAGTAATGGAATCTCTTCAGCTATCCCCATTCGATTTCAATGATTATGTGCCTATAAATATTATTTAATGTTCTAGTAAAAGCTTTTAAAGAATTTGGGTCCTATTAATATTTGACTAGATTATTGAACTTTTAATACGTCTATTTTCTAGGGCTCCTAGTTTTTCGAATCTAAACATGAAACTTACTACATATAGAAAACTAAACGAAATTTTATAAAAAAAAAAAATTCGAAAGTTTAAAACATAGTCTGTTTGAGATATGAAGTTTTTGAAAAAATGTACGTTGCATAAACCAAAAAAGACTTTGTTCAAAACTTTCTAAACATTTTTATGGAACCTTGACTAGTTGAGTTGCCTATATGCACAGAGTTTTAGATCACAATTCAACAGTTTAGTCAACTATCAATCGGCAAAAACCGATGAAATCGAAAGTGGGCAGCTTCTATCACAAGTAAAAATGTTATATCAAACGGTTTTAGTTTGCCTAACTTATGAAGCAATCTTTGGTTAATATCCACACTCAAGTTGATGAGAATCATCGAACAGTGTTCGGTACCCCTTGACTAATTTTAAGCATGTGCCTTGACATTGTCTTCGATGAATGCTCCACTCAAATCAAATTTGTGTTAAAAATTTCACGATCACAGTCATTAAGGAAAGAAAGATGCATTATGAAATCATCCCAAATAATGGGGAGCTTCTTTGCGTCTCAAGATAACAGCGTATTGGAGCACTCTATCTGCGATACAATATAGATCTGCGAATCTTTTATTGTTAATAAGAAAATGGAGGTTAACACATTTAAATAGCGAAAAATCAGTATTTTCATCGTAAATCCTTTGCATTAAGATCTATCGATGTTGGATTGCTGTTTATAATCACGGTTCACTGAGCTCTATTTGTAGTCAAAATATTGAAGCTCTGCAAAATGGACAGACAAATTCATCTATACAGTTTGATATGAAAACAAAAAATACAGGACAAATATATTTTGTGTTTGGAAGTTGTTGATTCCGTATGTTCGCAATATTACAATAATAGCCCTTTTAGCTTTTATTTCTGAGACATATTTGTGTATGGATTTGTAGAGGACCAAATGCTGAATCTTCAGAAAGAAAAAACTTCAATGTCAATCTATGAAAACTATAGAAGATATTGAGAAAATACAGAGACTCTTATTCCTTATGGATCACCCTCGTTATTTACTTGTTGAAGTATTATTTAAAGATGAAGGTATTGAATAAGAAATAGATTGTGATTGTGAATGTTGTCCTCCAATAAAAATAGTTTGTGTTGGTTGAGATTGAGATGACGATGATGAATTAAGTCCTCCATTAGCTAATGCAGCAAGAACAGCTGCATTTGTACTTGAAGATGAATTATCAATAAAAGAATTTGTTGATGAACGTTGTTGATGCTGTTGTTGTTGTTGTTGATTAGTTGGTGGTGGTGGTGACGGTGAATAACTTCCATTATTTTGTAGATAAACACGTTGTGTTTGTTGATCATAAGTAATTAAATTTTCATTTTGTTGATGATGATTTGTATTATGTAAAATAGACATTGTTTGTGTTGTTAATGCATCTGTATTAAAAACTAAATTCGATGACGGTGATGATGATCGTGATGGACAAATTATTTGTTGAGATGATGATATATGTTTGGATATCATTTGTCCAGATGGAATTTTATCACCATAACATTTAAGTGATTCAGCTGATAATTCAGAAAATGGTTTATTACTTATACGTATTACTGTTTTTTGTAAAACATCATCGGTATCTTTTATTTTTATATCAGGAAATGTTATTTCAGCTTCATTTAATGAATGCAATGAACCATTTACAAAATCACGTAATTTTCTTAAACCAACATAAAATGGTAATTTGTCTTCGGCACGTGGTAATTGTGAACAACGAGCACTTGATGATGGCATTACAAATACGTGCTATGGAAAAAAATAAATAAAATGTATTATTTCTTTTAACTAAAACTAAACAAATACAGTTTTTTTTTTGACGTAATCAACGATTAGAATTCATATTATTTTAATATATATATATACAGTGGATCACTACATCTCAAATAGTCTACCATTTATTAACGAAAAAGTCAACTGAAGTGATACGGGTCGTTTGAGCTTATATTTGACCTATAAGAATATCTTAGTAAGAGTAGCAGAAACCTCAAAAGGATTTATCCCTATGGTTGAGTTACAGTTGTTTTACTCAATTTTCGATCAAATTTTAGGTTTACACTGAAAAATGAAGATCAGTATTTTGACATGAAATTTTGTCTGTAAATAAGGTCGAATGATCAATAGAATATCCGGAAAGTTTCATTCGAAAAGAATATTTCTTTGTCAAGATAATTTCATTTCCAAAAATAAACTCAATTGTCACGGGCATATAACAAAAATCGAATTTACTTGGAAATTCAATATCTCAACAAAGCAATAGTCGTTTCGACCTCAACTGTCAAAATATTCTATAAATCATTAGACTTATCTATGAACAAGATTTTATGTCGAAACTCTGATTTTGACTTTTTAACATACACTTAAAGCTGATTCTAAAATTCAATAAAATGGCAATCACAGGGTTTCGAGCGTTAGATATCAATTTTAATAATTTCCTTGTAAGAAAACAATTATATAGGATGAATAGAGTGGTTAGAAAATTCATTAAATAGATCTAGTTTATATGTCATGTATGCGATATAGGTTTCCTTGTTTACAAAAATAGTAACTGTTTGGAAGTGATATCTTGAGGGTATACATATGGTAGAAATATGTATTCTAATCAAATCGAAATAAAAAAGAATTGTTTATCGCTGCTTTTCTTCATAGAGATGCTTACTGTATCTGTACCAAGAAATAATTCAGGTTGTTTTCCATAATGAAAATGTTTATTACCAGCATAAACTTCATAGATTCCTATAATAATAATATTTATTTGTTAATCGAAATAAAATCATATCAATATTCAAACCTCTTCCATTAAATGCAACAATTTTCGGTCTATACATTTTAATTTTTTGCATTAAAACTTCAGCACCAGCAGTTATTTCATCTCTATAAATATATATTAAATAGTAAAAAGAAAATATTTCATTTATTTTATTAATACTTTGTAATATCTGATCCAGCTTTCGTTGGCCTTTGTACAATATTTGTAAAGCCAATACCATATTGTGGCATACGATAGTCATCATTAGCACTAAGTGCAGTTGGTATTAAACCCGACATATGTAATAATTTCCAAAAATGATTTCCTGGTCCACCATAATGATGCCCTTTATGTACAGCATAAAGACTTGGATTAATTCCTACCTAAAATAGAATATAATTAATATAAACCACTCCCAAAAATAGAAGCTTTCGAGATTCTGTTGTGTTTAAACAAATTCAGTCTTGAAAAAAAAAAACTCTGCAGATGTTATTAGATTAATCTTGGCTTGATACCGTCTGCTTATAAGAAATATTTCTCCAGTCGTCAAAATACTCATAATTAAGAATAATCTCCGAAAATTATTTTCATTTTTCGTCGACGTATGAGATCATGGGTCACTATGTACACTCTATAATCGCCACTTTGTTTGAGAACAGCTATTTGAATAATATCATAGATTAATAAATAGATATTTCTTCTAATAGTAATATGATGTAGATATATGAGTCTTCTATTCGGAAACATTGAAGTCATATTAGTAACTTTCTTAAACAGTTGACAACAAAGTGAACGTTAGGAGATTAAAAAAAATTTGTTCCGACTGCTAGATTCGCTGGAAAAACTTAGTCCTTCAAAAAAGGTCAAATTTCAGCATTTTTAGAGAAAAAAAATGCATTTTCTGTAGAAGTGAGATAGAAAATTATATACAGTCTGAATCTAAGACTTCTGCTCTAACGAAAAGACCCAGGAGTCTCGATTACGATAAGAAGTTTAAGTAGAAAGAAAAACATAATAACTTACAAAAACAATATCAAGATTTGGTTGAAGAATATCTGATAGAAGACGTTTAGTTAATTCTTCTTCCGTTGTACCATCAAAACGATTTGGATTTGTTGATGGTGTTGAAGATTTTCTTTTATTACTAACATTCGTAATTTGTGACTGAGGTGATGGTGATGGTGAAGTATTTTTACTAATCATTGATGGTAATAATGGTGATGATGAAGGTGATGAAACAACATTCATTACTGGTGATATCATTGTATTTGAAAAAGTTGATGCTGTTGAAGTTTGTGATGAATGAATTTCTGTATTGACGTTAATTCTATTTAAATAACACAAAAGAAAAAGAAAAATAATAATTTTTTTGTTCTTTTTTATTATTGAAAAAAAAAAAAATATTTATTATAATATACTCTTGAGATTTTATTTCATTTTCTGTATCACGTTTAAGTGATTGTCGTAATTTTGCAAGAAAGACTTCTGCAACTTCATCTGAACCCAATGTACTTTTTAAAGCACTATAAACAAAGAAAAAACAAACATATAATAGAAAATTTAATATCGATTTTCTTTTGAAATAATTCTTATGTACTTAAGATCACCGCCTGCTTCCAAATTTTTTTTAAATGTTTGCATTAACACATTTTTTACACTATCTAATGCTTCATCTAATAGTTCTTTTGTATGACTAAAAGAAAATGAAAATTAATTTTAAATATATAATAGAAATAATTAAGTTACGTTTCAACAATTTCATCTGATGTTGTTGTTGTTTTTTGTTGAGATATTTGATTATTATTATCTGTATTAATATTTGATAACATATTTGTAATATGTGGTGTTGATGACGATTGTACAGTCAATGGTTTATACAATGAATCGTTATGACCATTTGTATGTAGTGTTTCAGAATAATTTGTTGATGAAATTTCATTTATTGTTGAACAATTTTGTTGTTCATTTATTAAATATTCTGTTGACATTGATAAATCAATTGAATTTTTACTTGTTATTAATTCACCATGTTCATTTTTTTTAAGTTTAATTAATAATTGTCGATTTGTTTCATTTTCAACTATTGGCGGAATCCTAAATACATAAAACAAGATATGCAACACGAACACAAGATGAAAAAATATATATTGAACTATGTATAGAGTTATGTGTTTTAGCCAATTGTGTTCGTTGACAGGAGGAAAGAAAATAAACGGGAGAGGAGAAGAAGAAGAAGAAAAGAAAAAAGGAAACCGTACATTCCAACTCAAACAAGTCGGATATGTGTATGTTTGCCTAAGTATATAAGCATATAGAAAAGAAGAGAAAAAAATGTGTAGAAGGTCTATATTCAAAGGTGAAAATATCAAATTACCCATTCGATGAATTTGTAGTTGCCATAGCTAAACTATCTCGACGAATTTTAAGAACTAATGGTGAAGTTAAAGATTGTTCAGTTGTTATACAATGTTCTTGTTGTGTACTATTTAAAAACAAAGAAAAAAAAAATTATTAATTACTTTTTTCAATTTTTCTTTCTTATAGAATAACGCACTTAATAATTTGTTTCTCCTGTTGACTAGACATATAATCATTATTTAAGTCAGTATTTGATCTACAGCAAAGAAAGAAAGAAAAAAAGAAAAATTACGTATAATTGTACTATGATTTTGAGTCAATGAAAATTGAAGTATATTGAAGATATATATGACTCTAATGGACTTTGTTTTTATAGGTGAATGTAAAGGACAAATCACTATGGACAAGAGAAAAGAAATTATTGTTTCTTGTTTGGTTTTGCTCGAATGATTTTATATGATCAATGAATAGAAATACAATCTATTAGTGTTCTATAATCAATGAAATTATATAGAAATATCCAAAAGTGCCTTGTGGTCGTCATGACTAGGATGGGAAATATCAATGATTCAAGAGGTCGATTGAACAACTTTTACTAAAAATTAATGTTAGAACTTTGCTTGAAAAGAACGAAAATTTTTAAAAGATTGGATATGGTCACGTCTTCGCAGCTCACAACAACTAGAGATGTGCAAGATCAAGTTTTTTTTGGGTCTCGATCCAGATAGCTTTTCTCTAGCAGTTCCGGCTTTGATCAAGAGAAAGCAATTCGAAAATTTATTCGTATGACATCGAAAACATTCTTTTTGTTTTATTCATTTAGTCGATGACCAACATATTCTGGGATCATCTCTCTTGAATTACGTTTTAGTTGATGATTTGTAAGAGAACTCGATTAAAACCATAGAAAATTTAATTGTAATTGGGATAACTTTTTTTTCCTCGTAGTTCTCGTCTCGACCTCAGGAATTACTCTTTCTTGTGCTTCTGGTCCGGTATATCTGTACTTGGAACACCCTTGAAAATATCAATAGACCTCTGTATTTTCATATATATGGTTGATAAATATCAGAATAAAAATTTTAACTTTTTCTTCGCTGCCTTGAAATAATCGAACGAATAGTAAGATTTAGTTTTTTTATATCAACTGTATAAATTAATAGATGGCGTTTTCTCAGTAAAAATATGAATAAAATATTACTGGATGAAACTTCTAATGTAAGGTTAAATTTTATGACGACAGAAAAGACTCTCAAATCCCTATGAAATGAAGTGTTGTATTATTGATTCAGAGACAGATGATAAGATATAAAGTAACGATCAGAAAGTTAAGTTTCTTTTTTGCAATCATTTATCACTGGAATGTATGTATGTTAACGTTTTTTAGAGAAAAAAATGATGTAAAATTCTAGAATTTCTTCTTTAGACGAAGATAAAAAAAAATTCTCATTAGATAAGTATCTGATCTCTATTAATGATATTAACTTAGTATTTTTTACTTACATGTTATTACTAACATTATCGTTTGATAATGATTTTTTACTACGTTTAGCTGGACGAGTTATATTTTCTGACGAAATCGAACTAAAATTGTAATTAAGTTAAATAAAAAAAAAATTAAACTCTTTTTGTTTTAATTATATACTCTGTATATTCTTCATCATTATGATCAGCACCACCATTAAGAAATGGATTTTTTAATTTGACGCGAAGTGTTGACGGTGATGCATTAGCAACGCCAGTGCTATCACTATTTCGAATAATTGATGATGATGGCATTGGAAGTCCATCATCGATAGTTTCTGTTGCTAAATGACTATTAAGAAAAAGAAATTAAACTAATCATTAACTAATAAAATAAAATAACAAATACTTACGATGTATGAGGAAGTATGACATCTGAATGATGATCATCGTACTTTTTCAATTTTAAAACTATTGGTGCTGGTGCTGTTTGTGTTCTATAAACAAATGTAAAAAAAAAATATACATAATAATTACAGAAAAATGGATGAAAAGAGGAATGTCTAAGATATAAAAGAAACTGTAATATTTAGATTTTATGTGAACAAAAACAAGAGATATTAACTATGTTGAAATCTAATGAGACTTCAATAATTATCATTCATCGTATGTATGCTGAGCCAATGCATCTTGCTATTAAAGCTAAACAATATTATGAGTTTTACATCGTAAAGTTCATTGAATTGTTTACAAGTTATTTTTCTTTTTCATTAATATCAATCAATTCTGTTCGACAGATTCCTATCTAACATCATAGCAACTACGGCTAATCATAATCTATTCCGTATTTTAAGAATAAATTGTGTTTCAATTTTTCAAATGAATTAAGAATGCAAAAGATAATATTTTTATAATAACATATTAATTCAGCGAAGGAAGAAATTTTTCTAATCGGAAAACTCCCTTCAAATTATTAATCGGAAAAGAAAAAGATGAAATAAATTTCTTACGTAAATTGATCATTCATATTGGTTTTTCTTGTTACTATCAAACACCAATTTTATTTTTTATACTCATAATATAAACAGAAAAATCTTGATATAAATTTAAGAAAATTCTTTCTTTTTTTGACATTAGCAATAACGATGATTGTAAATATAAAACACAAATAAACAAAACATCATAGGAAAAAAAAGAATCAAATCTGAATAAAAATAAAATGATTGGTCAATTTTAAGTAGCAAACAAAAAAAAAAACAAAAAATTGATTGATCTTTTTTTTCTTGTAAAAGTAAAGAAAACAGTAAGCCGTTCTCTTTTCTTTGTCCATGTTTTAACTAATGTCATATAACCAACCATATCCAATAATTATTGAACTCTATTCATTAATGTATATGTGTGTATGATAGATGGTGCTTGAATAATAAGAAAAAGGTAAAGAAAGAAATTTTCAACCAAACAGTATTCAGAAAAAAAAACAAAAAAAAGTTTTTTTTTTCCTACGCCGTTATTTACCTAGAACATAGAAGTATATAGGAAAAATGATCAATGGGTAATTTTTTCTTATAAATACGAAGGTAAAAGTTGTATCTGATTCATAGTCATATCGTTCTTTTCTTTCCATCGTCGACAGACACATCTATATGTCCACGTGAAATTACGGAGGACATTATTCGTGGTACTTTATTATTTTTTTTGTTTCTTTTTTCAGATGGTTTTTGTTATTTATCTTTGTTAATAAATATGAAAATTGATCGATCGAAACTAAAAAAATATCTACCGGAACCAGTAAGATATTTCAATTTTTTTATATTCATAAATCATTGTTTATTTGTTTGTTTGTTTTTTTTTCAATAGCCGGCTGATTGTAAATTATTTATTGATAAATTAAAAAGTTGTGATCGGAAAGAACTTCATGACCTATTAAAACCAATAACTATTTGGCATATTGGAAAAGTACGTTGTTAACCTTTTATTTCTAGAAACATAATTATATAATTTACTTCTTCTCGACACTGTATTTTTATAGTTAACCAAAGTTAGTTGATCCATTTCTTGTTATTATGCAATTTTTTGTTTTTTTTTTTTTTTTTGTTTGTTATGTTAAACATAGAACATATATCTATATTGTTGTTTATTATTTTCTAGTGTGAACTATATCATTGGATTGATGCATTGGATTTATTTGATTCGATTCTCGAAGAAGCATGTATAAAAACGGGCACATGGATGCTTAACTGTGACAAACCAGAAAATGGAGAGGTTTGTTTTTTTTCTGATAAGTTGCAATTATCCAATACGTGAATAAGTACTTTTTCGTGTACGACATATGTTAGCTAATTCTACAATAAATTTCATGGAAGCTTTTTTTTATGGTTTACGAAATGGTTCGTTAGCATAGTGAACTATAGACAATGGAATCTTATAGCAGCAGGATAAAGTTAAATTTTGACTGAAGAAGATCAGAGCTCATCGAGTGAAACTTCTTAGATTTTTTCCGTTAGCAATGAATGAGTGTTTATTCTCCGAGAATACTTTTTAAAATTTATAGAAAGTCCGATTCGTTTATTGAATATTTTGTTATAGCAAAGAATCAAAAAAATATCATTTTCTATCTCCTAGAATAATTAATGAAAATTTTTACATCTCTCAAAATCTAAACCCTACTCAATGGTTTTGACATTTATCAATATTTCCGTTAAGATTGGATTAAATTTTATTAGAATATCGTCAGTCTCTGATTCTTTTGTTTCTTAATTGATAAAATTTCCTATGTAGTGCACACTTATAACAGAAACAACTCGAATTTCTGGAAAAAAAAATTCTTTTTTAACTAAAAGAATTCTGTTATCAAAGTTCAATAAATATAGTATTCTTCTTCGTGAAATTCTTTTATTCCGACTTTACATACATTTATCATTTGAGATTGATTTTTTTATATTTTTGTTTTTATATTTAGTTAAAAATGTTAGTACTTGATATTCTTCATTTTACTGCATTATTAATTGAACATTCATATTCTCGTCATTTATATAATTCAATCGAATATTTAATTATGTTATTACAATCATCTGATGTACATATTGTACTTGGTGTTCTATCACTTCTATATGTATTCAGTAAACGTTCTAATTTTATAACAAGACTTCAAATTGATAAAAAACAAGCATTAATTGGTCGACTTATTTTCTTAGCTGAAGTAAAATTTTCTTTTATAAAAATATTTTGTATTTATTTGTTTGTTTTTTTTTTCTTTTAGACTTGGGGTGGACGAGAGAATGGTTTCGATTTAGCTCGTTGTTGTAGTGTTCGAAATCCATCAGTAAATATCAATAGTTTTTATTTTTTCCTACAATGTAAAGCATGTAGCTTGAATCCGTACAGTGATTTTAATAGCCAATGAAGTTTTCTAATAGTAAGATATCTAAAGAAATGTCCACAGTAGTTTTCAAATCTCAAAAGACTATCTTTTAACAATGCCGTTTTGGAGAGAACAATATGGGGGTCACAACATTTTCAATGGCCTTCCTTTAAGAAGTTAAAAGCATTGCAAAAAGGTTAAAAAAACAAGACGTGTGTCAATTGTTTGACTTCCTTGAACATGTTTCCGAGGCGTTAAAAAAGCTATAAGTTAGGAGCAGCATATTGTGTACTGACCTTAACAAATTTATCTCAGTTTTTGTTTGGGACTAGTGAAGGGATTTTTTAAAAGGCTAAAATAAATTATATTGAATAGTAAATCAACAGACTTTTGCTAATCTCTATAAGTTCTTGCTGTAAGGTGCCAAAATATATTGAAGTCGAGCGGATACTTCTTTACAAAACTTTATATTGAACTAAGCTATGGCTTTTACCTGTATGAAACTAAAGGTAGGTCGTCAAGAGTTCCTCTTGATGGAGAAATCAATTTTTCAGAAATGAAGATGCAAGAGAAACAAAAATTGAAGTGATCTGCAAAAGAAAAAACTTCAATGATAGATTTTTATAGGGTAGCTTCTGCTCTACCAGCTGATATGTTAATGAAAGTATGAATATTTACTTTCGAGCTGTAATAATGAAACTATCAAAGTACAATAAAAAAATATTTCGTGGAGCTTTCAAATGATCATCTCATTGATAAGCGTTCATTTAAAACGAGCACAAAATTCTGGTCATAACTCATAACTTTTGACTCCTCGGAAACATTACAAAAGTAGTTAACTACGAACACATATTTTCTCTCAAAACTTTCAACCCATCCGTTAAACTTCGTTATGTTTAAACAGCACTGTTTAGAAAAATGATCTTTTGGTAACTGAATATTTCTGTATCTAATGTGTTACAGAACTCCTATCCGATTTCAACATGGTGCTTAACATTATAGAAAAAAAAAATCAGAAATACGTTATTGTTAAACTTATTTTCTAAAATCTTATAAATGCATGGATTTTAATTCATATAGGATTTTCCTGAACATGCAACAAATCTACATTTTGCATATACAGTACCAACAGAATCAACATCAAGTAGTGGACCAACATTGGTAAAAAAAAAAAAACTTCTTTTTTTCTTTATCTACGATATATAATAAAATTTCTCTTTTCTTTTGTTAGCAAATTTCGAAACAAATCGATATTCCAAATGTTCATTTAGCTGGAATTAATGCTGCTGCTGTAATGGAAATAGTTCTTGCTGAACATCCATTACCAGAAGATAAACAAATAAAATTATTTACACATCTTCGTTTAGCTTATGCATTTCCATCATTTGATCAACGTTTATTATGTATTCAAGCACGATTACAAGCATTATCTATTCTCAGTAAAGAAAAAAAAATCAATGATTACAATTTATATATATTTTATAAAAAAAAACATTTTAATTTTAGTTTATTCATCAGGAATGCAAGAAGCGAATAATGTATTATATGATGGTTTGATTGAAGAACTTGTTGAAGTATTGAATGTTCGTGACCCAACATTAACAGTATGTTTATAAATGAATAAAATATGTAAATATATTCTCTTTTTTAAAATAGGATATAAAAGCTTCAGCCTTAAAAACTTTAACATCAATAATTCATCTTGAACGAACAACAAAGTAAATATTATATTTTAAAATAATGTTTTTTTTTTTTTTATTGTGTTTAATTATTTAAATTTTTTAGACATCCACCACGTTTACAAGAAATAATTGAAACAACACAAGCAAATTCGTATCATGGATTTTTACCAGCACTTGTACGACAATGTATTGATAAATTAACTGGTAAAATTATTTTTTGATTTATATATATATATATATAATTGATTAATTTATTTGTATATTAATTAGATGATAGTAATGAACGATTTCCTCAATCATTATCAACAGCCTTATTTTCATTTCTTTATCATTTGGCGTCGTACGAAACAGGTGGTGATGCATTAGTTAATTGTGGTATAATGCAATCATTAATTAAAGTTGTTAATTATTATGATGAATCTCAAGATTTTATTATGGTAAAAAAAAATAAAGAAAAAAAAAACATTTTTATTTTATTTTGGTTGTATTTTAGTTTGTTACGCGTGCTGTTCGTGTTATTGATTTAATCACTTCGTTAGATATAACCTCATTTCAAACAAATAATGGTTTACAAGCATTTATCAATCGTTTAGAAGTAAGTTGATTTTGATGCATTTGGTTTAGTCAATAGCAAACAAAAGGTCTCGTGTACAAGCTCCTATCGAAGCATTTCTATGATATACGTGATTAGAAGTGTCAATGTGTGAGCAAGAATAAAAATATATCTAATAAGAACGGTCGCAATTTATATATCTATTCAATGTATAAATAGCATTACCAACTTATTGAACAAGAAATATTTTTTTTGACTATTCAAAAAATATAAGCAAAAAAAAAAGCATTTTTTTTATCATGGTTGGATAGAGCTCGTCGAGTTACTGGCATATGAAAATAATTAGTTGATGCTTTTGTAGTAAAATTTAGTTTGAGAAAATACGAATTTCTATTCTAACGAGAGACTATCTTTTACTGTGACTTGCCAATCGAACTAATATTTAGTTCATAGGTGGATGTCGACGACACTAGTAGAAGCCTATAAGGGTTTATCTTAATGCGCTATTCTTCTGAATTTATTAAAATTTTTAAAAGATTCTTATCTGTGAACAATACAATTACGATGTTGCAAGCTGAGATCTCACTCATAGCTATGTCTGATGGATTTTTATGATTCCTTGAAAATTTCAGCCTGAGGCTATGTACTTTTCTTGAGATAGTAATTATCTCCAAAACAAACTTGTGTCACGTGTTAAGGTAAGAAAGTTCAGTGTTTTCAAAATTCACTGTTTCCGAGAGAGAGTATATCGCTTCAGACTGAAATTTACAAGGCATTCCAAGATTCACGAGGTTTACCTATGGGAAAAACTTCCTAATTCCATATATTGACAAATACCTTACCAGGTGAAAAAAGGATTTCATAAATTTTTAATAATTTGAAAAGAACAGCATATGAGAATGAACTCTTAGAGGCTTCATCTACTAGTCTTATTGTGATCTGTGCTTTCGTTTTGAGACCAAAATTAGGCGAAAATTAATTTTGTTGAGTATCATATAAAAAGATTCGGATAAATATTGAAACATGTTGCTTTTGGCATATTTCAATTTTTATAGACTTTTCTGGTTGTTTCTTATAACCATTATTTTACTATAAAAACAAGATTTCTCTAAGTATTTAAACGAGTTCTATCCAATCATGAGAAAAAGAATATTGTTTTAGAAATTTCAAATTGTGAAACATTTAACTATCTAAATAAATTTTAGCATGAAATAACACAATGTCGCAAACAACAACCATTTATAATTCGTATACCAAAACGTACACAAGGAACACCAACAATAAATCTCGATACACATCCACCGTTATCACCAAGTGCACGATCTGATATATCTGGTGAACATCCAACATTAACAGCAACAACACCAAGTCATTTATCAAAAGATATGGATACAAGTGAACTGTTAGATGAAAATCATGAATTAATGCCAAATAGTCCAATACCTGGTTTAACATGTTATCATCAACGTGCTGCATTACTTAAATCAATATTAAATTATTTAAAACGAGCTTTTACTGAACCAACAATGGCTGATACAACACGTCATATAATGGATGGTTCATTACCAAATTCATTAAAACATATAATAAGTAATGCTGAATATTATGGACCATCATTATTTCATTTAGCAACTGATGTTGTTACATCATTTATATTTCAAGAACCATCACAATTATCATCATTGCAAGATAATGGTTTAACTGACGTATTAATGCATGCACTTTTAAAAAAAGATGTACCAGCTGCACGTGATGTTTTAGCATCATTACCAAATATATTTAGTGCATTATGTTTAAATACGCGTGGTTTAGAAAATTTTATGGAATATAAACCATTTGATAAATTATTTTGTGTTTTATTATCACCAGAATATTTACCAGCTATGAGACGACGACGCGGTAATGATACACTTTATGGTACAGCATCAAGTCTTGGTAATGCTGTTGATGAATTAATGAGACATCAAGTTAGTTTACGTACAGAAGCTATGAAATCTATAATTAAATTACTTGAACAACTTGTCGAATTAGGAAATAATCCTAAATATTGTTGTCAAAAACCACATTCATCATCATCATCAACAACAACAACAAAATTAACAGATACAATACGTACACAACATCGTACTGTACGTACAACAAATACAACAAATACAAATACAGGTGGAAATGATAGAAATTCATCTGATGATGAATATGATGATGATGAAGCCACAAATGATGAAGCACCATTAGCTAATCGATCTGTACAATCACAATCAACACAACCATTAACAACTACATCTACAACAACAACAACTGAAGCAACAACAAATATTCCAATAGTACTTAATCAAACATTATTAAGTGAAAACAAATCTGAAGATGAAACTGTTCCAATAGCTGTACCATTACTTGATTATATAACAAATATAATGCGTTTTGTTGAAGGTGTTATTAGTAATAATACAACTGATGATCATGGAAAAGAATTTGTTAAATTAGGTGGTTTAAAACCTTTACTTGATATTTTACAAATGAAAAATTTACCTATTGATTTTCCATCAAGTCCAGCTTGTCAATGTGTTGCGGCACTTTGTAAATCAACACTTGTAAGTTTACTTGTTTATTTGAAAACAAATAAAAAAACTTTTTTTTTTCTTTTTATTTTAGACTCTTTTAGTGAAAGATAATAAATTAATTGAAATGGTTATAACAAATCTTGATACAATATTAAATTCTTTAACAGATTTTTATTCAAATCGTACATATGATGGTTCATTATTAATAGAAGAATTAGCACGTGCTGTATCATCAACAACAACCGTATCAATTGATCCAATGGATGCTATTAATCAATCATCATTAACACCTATACTTCATCAATTATCAATTGTTCATTCTCATATATCATTATTAATATCATTATGTAAAATAACACAAAATGAAGTGCGCAGTATATTAATTAGTTTTTGGGGTGCTGAAACTGGTATACGTGTATTAAAAAATTTAAATAAATTATGTTTAACATTAATATGGGAAAGTTCAATATTATTATCATTATGTTCATCAGATACAAATATAATTGATCAACAATTTAATAAAAATGATTTATTAAAATTATTTCCATTAATAAATGATTTAACAAATACAATATCGCCATTACAAAATGTTTCAACACAATTAAATGATTTAACAACAAATGAAATGACACGTACATTTGATATTGATGAAATTATGTCAATGGATACAACTGATTTTACTAAATTAAAATTAAAATTATCATTTAATATACAACAACGTATTAAAACAATTAAACCATTATTATGTGTTTCATCAAAACTTGGCAGAGCATTAAGTGAACTTTATAATTTACTTGTTAAACAATGTTCAACATCACAATTAAGACATGCAAGACGTTTTAATCAACCACCAACACCATATATACCAACAGCAGCTGCAAAACTTGTTGCATCAACATTAACTGAAGTATTACGTGATGGGTATTTATTTAATTTACCAGGAAATGTTAATCTAACAGAAAGTCAAATTGAAAAATTTCGTCTAACATTTTTTGTTTGTACAATTGGGTAAGTTGTCAAATTTATTTATTTAGATTCGTCAAATGATAAAGAGTTATCATAAAACATAGAATTTCAGATGTCAAGCATGACAATAGATATCCTCTATTGACTTAACATCCCCAGAACATAGTGAACATTGTACGAAATACAATGTATTTGTGTTCCATAAATAGAGATGTTTAGTTTCAGTTTACTGACTCCTGACAGTACAATAGAGGTTTTCGAACTCGAGTGAATCGTACTTTGATACTCTTTATGAAATTTGCTAATTAGAATTAGATAGCCACTCCGAAGATACGAGATACTTTTTTTCCAGTTTTTTGTATTTGGTAACTAGACAATTCGACAAGCACACTGAAGCATTGAAACACATCGCTAGAAAAAGGACGTCTTTCGGTAAAGTTACTATCTCAATGTTGCGGCCAACGCAGATGTCAGTCAAGTAGAGTTCAGTGGTTCCAAAAGTTATCCGGAATTGAAACTCTTAAATCGCCAAATAGATACGAAGTTTTTACTCTTGAATTGTGAAGATTAAACACACTACATTTTTTAGTACATTAACAAATGATATTATACATATAATTAATAAAAATTTTAGTATCTATTTAATAATATAAAGATGCTGATTTCGTTTTCAGTTTCATTTTATGAACTATCGAACTCTACAATATAATCAGTGATTTATTGTTTAGTATTCACATTCACACTGTACATTCCAAGCTACAAAAAGTTGATGTTCGTTTTTTGCAGTTTTAAATCTTGAGATTCTTATTCTGATATTTTAGAACAAAAATATCGTACTCATACTTAATTGGAATTTGATATCAAGTTTTTCTTAATTAATAAACTTGAAAAATATGATGACAAAATAAAAAATTTCTTTTTTTTTTTTTAGTTTTGCTACTCCAATGTTATTTGATGAACGTCGTCGTCCTTATATGTTAATGTTACAACAATTTGAATTATCTAAAGCTCAAGATGCACTTTTTTCTTCACTTGAATGGACACTTGATTTAATTAATCGTCAATCATTAATAACCGATGATCAACAAGCATCAACACAAATAAATAATACATATGATGCATCGCCAACAGAATTTCTTAATTCAGCATTAATGCTTATATTACGTTTAGTTAATGTTAAATCCATACTTGAATCTCCACATTCAATACCTAAAAAACCACAAACAGAACGTAGTTATTTTATTCCCTTTAATCCATTACATTATTTAGCATTAACACATAAATGTGCATTTCATATATTAACAAATTCCTGTTCGGTTCTATGGGATAAACCATATTTATTAAAAGATCATGCAACAAAAATAATCGATAGCATATTATCAATATTTTGTCATATATTACGTGGTGAATCACAAATACAAAAAAAATTACAAGAAGAAGAACAACAACAACAACAACAGCAACAACAACAACAACAACAACAACAACAGCAACAACAACAACAACAACAACAAAATTCAACAACAATTACATCAGCAACATCATCATCAACAGTCCCAACAAATGATACAACACAACAACAATCAAATACTGATAATGATTTACCGGGTTCATCAGCATTAATACCAAATGCATCAACACAATTGAATGAAGATCTTATACAATCTATAACAATGATGGGTTTTTCACGTGAACATGCTATTGAAGGTTTATTACAAACAAATAATAATCTTGAATTAGCTGTTGATTATTGTGTTAATCATCCACAAGCTGTTATAACACCACAAACACAAACAAATCTTCCTGATATGGATGCTGACATGGCACGTGCTTTATTATTATCATTAGGACAAGATGTTGATGAAACATCATTAGCTAATCCAATAGCTGCATTAGCTGCATTATCAAGAGATAATAATAATATAAATGAAATAACTTCAACATTATCTTCCAATTTACCAACAACAATACCACCATCACAACCACCACTACCAACAACAACAAATACAGATACAACAATACAAAATCAAACATTAGTTGAAAATTTAAATCAACAAAAATCTTTACCTATTATTGAATCATTATCAAAAGAATCTGTTGATCGTTTTACTGATTCAATTATGTTAAAAATACTTGATATATTACCTGATACTGTTTATAAAATGTGTGAACTTGTTGTAACAACAATGCATCGTAATGGTATAATATGGCGTGATCATTTTCTTGAAATAATAGCAAATGATATAAAAACAAGTTATTTATATTTAATTGATTTATTAGATAAAAATTATTTAAATCAACAAAATGATGAACAATCAATATTAATATTTTTAAATGATCATCAAAATTCTGTTTTATTTAGTCGAACATTATTAATGTCATTATTATTTGAAGAAATGCCATTTCCATGTGCACGTATAGCTGAAAAATTTTCATTAATTAATTATTTTTGTATATTAGTACATCGTACAACAGATTATTTAATTAAATTTAATGAAAAAAAGACTCCAACATGGTTATCACCTGTATTTATATTTATTGATTTATATGAAAAAGTATCATTAGCATCAAAACGTCGTTCAATTATAAATCAAAATTATCGTAATTATAATCGTGTATGGCAATGGTTTGATGAACGTGCTGTTAAATGGAATAATTATCCATTAGCACAAAATAAACAAATTGATGATGCATATGCTAATGGTGAACCATCATGTAAAATCGTTATACAACGACGAAATTATATTATACAATTTAATACAATGTTACAAACAAATGAAGATACACATAATAAACGACCTATTATGCTTACTTTTTCAAAACCAACAATTAAAACAAATACAGATGGTTCAACACAAATACCACCACCACCACCACCAACATCATCATCATCAAGAATATTTTCGGCATCGGATACAAGTGATGATGACGACGATGATGATGATGATGACGATGATGAACAACATGGACAAAGTGTTGCAATTAATTCAAATGATACAAAAATGGATACAGAACAACAAACACCACAACAACAAACACCAGAACAACAAAACGAAACAACAACAATATCAGTTATTGAATCATTAGCTGATGATCATGCATTATTATTAACAACTGATTGTGTTTATTTAATACGTATGCCTGTTGATCCTGATGCTATACATGCATTATTACGTCTTATATTACGTTTAACACGTGATTATAAATATGCACGACAATTTGCTCAATCAGGTGGTATACAAGCTATATTAAGTTTAACACAAGCATCATCATTTCAAGGTTGTGCATCATTAATAACATTAATATTTCGTCATATTATGGAAGATGATAGTAATTTACGTTTAGCTATGGAAAAAGCTATACGACAAGCATTAACTGGTAATCATGGTGTATCAATTGGTGTACAACCAGCATGTCCAGGTTCACATGAACTTAATGTTATTTTACGTATACTTGGTCCAGCTATGACACGTGCACCTGATATATTTTTAGATGTTGCATCAAATGTTTTACAATTATTACCACCATCAGCTAGTCGTTTAGCTGGTTCATTAAGTCGTTTTACAAATCCATTTTTAACTGATGATGATCATCATACACAAACAAATTTACCAATGGGTCCATTAATATTACAAGCACGACCAGCAACAAGTCAAACAACAACATCCGAACAAAATTCACAAATACGTACAACACGACCAATACCAACAACAATAACAACAACAACAACAACAACAACAACAAATGATACAGTTGGAGAATTAGCTGAACGTTTATTAGTTGATTTACTTGATTTTCTTTTAACAAATGATGATAATAATAATAATAATAATAATAATAATTCAAAACGTTTACTATCAAAATCAACTGTTTTACGTATATTAGCTGAATTAATACGTTCATATGCTAATGTTGCTAAACTTGTATCAACAAAAACATTTCAATTACAAGATAATCAAACATGTTCAGCATTATCATATATACTTGATTATTTATTACCCGGTACAAATAATCAACATATTGATTATGATAAAGATATACCAGCATTATGTCGTTTATTTCTTGTTGCTATGGCAGCATGTAATCATTGTTTAGAATCACAAATGAATTTAGTTAATGAAGTTAAAATGTCATTAAATAAAATTTTAATTTTACCTGAATGTGATGAAAAACATATGAGATTACAAGCATTAGCTAATATAATTAATACAATGATTGAATCATGTCCAGCACCAAATACATCAGCACCACAACAAGGACAACATCGAATGTCACAATCAATTATAAATAATATGATTAAAATTATGTATAAACGTGGTTTAATTAATGATTTAGCTAAAATGATTCATAGTATTGAATTATCAAGTTCAAAATTAGCTGATACAGTTAATGCTGTACTTAAACCTATGGAAACATTATCACGTGCTATTAATTATGCAACATCATTACATGTACAAAGTGGTACACGTCCACATACAACAAGACATCCAACAACAACAAATACAAATCAAACAGATACTTCAACTACTTTGCCACCATCATCATCATCAACAACAACAGATTCAACAGTACCTATTCAAGAACAAACAACAATAAGAAATGATGAACAACCAACAATAATAACAACAACAACAACAACAACAGTTGATTCATCTCGAACTACTGAACAACAACAACAAACATCAACTGATTCAACACTTGTATCTCTACAAGATGATAATCGTTCATCAATTGATAATACAAATATAAATAATAATAATACATCACTTAATTCAGCTAATCAAGTTCAATTAAGTATTAGTCAAGAAGAATTATTAAATGCAACAGATATGGAACCTGTAGCTGGTTTACCACAAGATGTTGATATATTTGAAAGAAATATTCATGGTACAGCTAGACTTTCAACTGATGAAGACGATGATGATGAAGATGACGAAGAAGTTAGTATTGAAGACGATGATGATGAAGATGAAAATGGTCCTGTTGGAACAATTAATGTTGAATTTGATGTTGCACATCCTCTTGATGATACACATGAACATGGTATGTTTATTATATATAAAAACTAAACCTTTAAAGTTTAGTTTAATTTTTTTAAATTTTTTATGAAGCACAATTTAAAAGTAGTTTTGTAGTATAGAGATAGAAATTTCGATTATTTATTGCGTTTCTCGAGGATTAAGTAAAATAATGAACAAACTCACTGTAATTAGCAATAGCAATTATATCGTGTTTCATAATTTAATCCGACAGGCATCGTGTTAACATGTTGTTGTTGTTTTTTTTCTAATATAAATAGCATCAAGTTCAAGTTCAACAACAACAAGTGCTGATCAAGATGAAGATGACGCAGAAGAAACTGATAGTCCTGATGAAGATATAGATATGGAAAGTGCCAATGGAAATGATCGTGAACCACAGCATCGGTAAGATTTTTTAAATAATCTACAATGCAAAAGATTTGAATACAAAATTTTTTTTTTTTGGTTCAGTTTTCAGTCATTTAAAGATAATTAATTAGAGCGAGAAACAATTAGATTTCCAAATATTTGTTTAGATTTTCTTTCTTAACCTTTTGTTTTTCTTTTTTAATAGTTATAGTGATGATGATGAAGACATTACAAGTGAAGAAGAAGTTGATGTTCGTTTAACAGGTATATAGAAATGTTTTGATGTTAATTTTTTTTTGTTTTATTTTAATATTTGCTTTTCTTCATTCATAGGTCCAACATCATCAGGTGAACAACATGATGATGAACATGATGATGATCTTGATGAAGATAGTGATAATAGTGATAGTGATGAAACTCATACAGGTGATGAATTAGATGAAACTGAAGGTCCTACAATTGATATACATATTGAAACAGCATCAAGTCCATCAACAGATGAAAATTTAACAAGTAATAATGAAAGAACTGGTCAAACAAATGAAACAAGTGATAATATTACTGATGATACAGCAACTAATAATAATAATAATAATCAAGAAGATGACGAAGATGAAGATGAAGAAGAAGAAGAAGATGAAGAAGAACAAGATGAAGATGAAGATGATTTTGCTGAGGATGATGATGCTGCTGCTGAAGATATTGAAGATATGGTTGAACGGTAGACTTTTTTTACTAAAATATCTTTTTATTAATAATAAATGAAATCGTTTTGTTTTTAGCGATATGGATGCAGCTAATGCATGGCAAGATGATGATGAAGAAGATGAAGATGAAGATGATGAAGATGAAAGTACAGAATTTGAAGATGATGATGGTGATATAGCTGACTATGTCACTGAAATGGAACTTGATGAAGAAGTTCTTTCAGAAATTCGTAATAATCTTATGTCACCAACTGATATTGATCCCATTTTAATATCTAATCTTCAAGGTGTTCGAATTCGTGCAAGTGGTTATCCATCATTTCATGGCATCAATGATACAGGTTGGATTTTATTAAACAAAATTTTAGTTCTTTTTAATAATTTGACTTTCTTCTTTTAGTTGATCCAGCTCTTCCACCACCACCAATCAGTGTTCCTGCTTTGCATCCATTACTTGTTCATCATGCTGATAATCAGCTAAGTTCGGGTGCTTTTTCACGTTTTCGTCAATTAGGTACAACAACAACAACAACGACAGCACCGAATCAAGCAAATATAAATGTTTTATCAACACAAGCAAATCCTGTAACAACATTAACATTTGGTCAACAAAATGGACCAACAATGCTTACTGGACAAACAGCATTAACTGTACAACAACAAATTAATCAACAAGCACAACGAAATCGTATGTTGTTGTTGTTTTTTATTAGTTTTATTTTTTCCTACTGGAAGGGAAGGGTCATGCATGCAGATGACTGTTTAGAGAGAAAAATCTCGATAAGTTTTGCTTAATACACTTTTCAATGATGTTTCGAGTGAAGATAAAGATAGAACTGATACTGGTCGTGAAAAATCCATACTAGTTCCATATCTAGTTGGGAGAGTTATCCTTTCCAATCTTGAAAAGTTTTCATTTAAGAATTCGGTCAATTTTAGCAAAAATCTTCAAATCAATCTGTTGAGTCATCAGCTTCTCGCTCCAATCTTGCTTGGTGATTTCGGAACATTTCTGACAGTTAAACTCAAGTTTTAAAAGACTCGTAAAGAATTTTGAAGTGTTCTTCACAGCAAAATTTTCTAGAACGATGAGATTAATAATTCTAAATCATTTCAAAAATCATTGTTAAATTTTAATTGTGGTTTCGTGGTATAGATAAACATGGAAAAGTTTACAACAGAGTAAGACATTTTATCTGCTATTAGAAATAGTTATATTCAAAAATGTTACGTTGGGAAAAACAATAGATGGAAACGTTACGATTGTTTAGTTTATTTTCCTATCAGTAGAGAACTTAGCGATGTTTACTTCTCGCTACTAATCATAAAAAATTTTTTTTTTTTTTTTGTTATATAGGTACAACTCGAACATTATTTATTCCAGGTGGTACAACAACATTTGGTCGTGCAGCAGCTGGTGGCTTTGCTGAATATCTTCAACATGCTAATCAACTTGATGTTGATCCATTAACTGGTTCAACATTAACAAATAATGGTAATCTACAAGGTACAGCAACAGCACGTATACTTGTTGGTAATAGTGCTGATTCTGATGCATTACGATTTTTACATGATCAAATGTTAATGGATATAGCACCACAAGCTAATGAAGGAAATGAAAATATCGATGGTACAAAAATTTATATGATACGTACACCATTAGCACGTTGGATTGAAGAAAGTATTGTACTTGATGGACCATATGTCCATGATACTGTTCTAGCATTAAAATCTAAAATAACTGAACCATTAGAAAAACAATATGAATCAGAATTACAAGTTGTTTTAGCTAAAAAAACTAAAGATGATGAAGAACGTAAAAAACGTTCAGATGAAAAAGCACGACAAGATGCTGAACGTGTACAAGCAGCAACTGCTGCTGTAGCTTCATCTAATACTGTAACAACATCAACTACGACAACTGATCAACAACCAACAGAAAATACAACAACAGCTACTAATGAACCACTTATATCAGTAACATCATTTAATGATGATATTCATCTTCGTCAAGAAGAAACATTACTTTCACCACAGTTACAACGTTCTGCACAATTGCATGCAGCTGCCGCCGCCGCTGCTGCTGCTGCTGCTTCAACTAGTCAAGATATGAGTACAACTCCTATACGTTCAACTAACGATGAATCAACACCAATGAATTTACAACCAGGTGGAACAGGTAGAAAAATTTATTTTTATTTGTTTTTTTTTTCTTTAATCAAAAACAAATCTTTGTTTTGTTTTTATTAAGTGTCATTAGTCACTAGTGATGCTGGTACAAGTCCATTAGCAAATGAAAATATGTCTACTGGTGGCCAATCACCAGGTCAATTAGCAACATCACCTACAACATCAATGGAAATCAATCATCCATCACCAATAAGAGAAATTTCAACTGAACAACAACAACAGCAAGAACAACAAGTCACTATTGAACCAGAAACAACACCAACGACAACAACTGAACAAGTTTCTTCATCAACTACAACTGAACAATCAGCTACTGCTGCTTCTGCTTCTTCAGTAACAACAGCACCACCAGTTGAACCTGAAGTTGAATGGACAACATTAGTTATTGATGGTCGTGAATTTCGTGTACCAAAAGCATTAGAAATCGATCCATCATTTTTAGCTGCCTTACCTGAAGAAATGCGACAAGAAATTTTAACTGATCAAGTACGAAATTTTGAACGTGAAGAAAATCAACGACGTGCACAACGTGCTGCTGCTTATGCTGCAGCTAATCCAACAGCAAATTTAAATCCTCAAACAATTGATGGTATTACTAATGAAAATTTTTCATCACGTACAAATCAAACAACAAGTGAAGCTGTTATTGGTGAAATGCTTGGTGAAATTAATCCAGAATTTATTTCAGCACTACCACCAGAAATACGTGAAGAATTATTAGCTGAACGTCGTCGTACAGCAGCTACAATGGCTGCTATGAATGGTGTTAATTTACCTGATAGTGGTCCAGCAGAATTTTTACGTACATTACAACCCCATTTACGTCAACAAGTTCTTGCCGATATGGATGAAAGTCAAATAGGTGCTTTACCAGAAGATATAGCTAATGAAGCACGTGCATTACGTGCTGCTATGGAAACTCAACAACAACAATATTTACGTGAACGTATGGTACGTAATCATCATGATATGATGAATATGTTAACCAATAATACACATCATAGTACACGTCCAATACGTATGTATAATTTTCGTGCGTTACAAGAAGCCCGTAATAATCGTACAGATAGACAACCAACAAATTGGTATTCATTACGTACAGGTGCAAATACAGGTGATTTAAATAGTAATACATCAACAATAGGTTCACGTGGTCGACAATTACTTGATTATGAATCAATATGTTGTTTATTAATATTGTTATTTATTGATGATCCACGTTTAAATTTTGCACGTTTACAAAAAGTTTTAAAAAACTTATGTCATCATACACAAACACGACAATGGATAATAAAAGCATTATTATCAATTGTAAATAAAAGTACAGGACGTACTGAATATGATGGACCATTAACATCAACACCGGGTGCACCAACACTTATATTAAAAAATCCAGCAATTAATAATCAAACACAAACACAAACAACAATAAATACTACTAATAATGGAAATGATATTCAACAAATAAAAAATATTAATCCATCATGGTTAACAATTAATTTTGAAAGTGCATTTGGTGCACGTACAAATGTTTTTAAAATTCAACGTCTTGGTCATACAAAACGACATGGTTCAATACAAATATCTGTTCATGCACAAGCATGTCCAATTGTTTGTCGACAAGTACTTGAATCATTAATAATATTGGCTAAAACTTTTCCCGAACAATTTCTTCCATTGCCATTAAATAATAATAATGAACAACAACAACAACAGCCAGCAATATTATCAACAAATGAACAAACAAATAAAAATACATCACCTGATAAACAATTAGTAGCAACACCATCAAAAACTTCTCCAAATATACGTGATTTATCATTTTGGGAATTAATTCTTAAATTAGATCAATCATTTAATAATCGTTCAAATCGTTCGTCAACTAATCCATTACAAAATATATCATCTATTGTTATTACAAATACAACAACAACTAATACTGCTACGAATACGAATATTACTGCTACTATTAATAATAATAATAATCAACGAACAACATTAACATTAAATATTAATAATAATGAAATTGATTTTGAATCATCACCATTAGCTGCATTATTACTTATGCTTGATCATCCAATATTGAATAAAAATAATCAATTAATGGATAAATTATTTAAATTACTTTCAATTATATCACAAAGTTTTCAAATACATATTATTACAAAAAAAGAAATTTCACCATTACCATTAGCTACATCAACACCAATGACAACTGAACCACCAAATCAAACAACAACCACAGCAACAGCAACAGCAGCAGCAGCAGCAGCAGCAGCAGCAGCTGCAGTAGCAGCAACAACAAATACAGCAAATGCAATTCAAGAACCAACAAATAATCAAGCTTTGACAACAAATACAAATAATAAATTAGTTGTATCTGATGATCAAGTTGTTTTAGGTACCCAATTAGATTTAGTTATTAAAGCTTTAATATCAAAATCATGTACAGAAGATGGTCTTGAATTTGCAACTATACTTTTATTAAATATATCGAAAATTAATCAAGCTACAAGAGATAAAGTTTTACATTTATTACTTAATGGTATTCGTTTATTAGGCAAAGATGTTAGCGAAGAAATTAAGTAAGTTTTGTTTATATATTAAAAGAAAATAACTCTTATGAAAAGAGAAGTTTCACGACTATCTATTTTTTTTGAATCAAAATAATGTGTATTGTGTAAACTCTAATGAATTATAAATACTCTGAAAAGAGTTCATGTTGGTAACTTATTACTGCCCAGATACTGCATTTTAATCTTATTTGTTAATTTAAAGTCATGGTTTTCGTTCGTAACATCGTAGAAAACTGTTTTTTTTTTGAAGTTCATACAGAGATAAGTCAAACAGAAAAGTTTGTTGTAGGTCTTTGGGTTTGTTTCTTTTCTGAATATAGCTCTCAATAGTTTTTCGAAGTGGCAGAGACTAAAAATTTGATTGACAGTCGAAGATAAAGATAATCTTTCTGACAGGAGCAGTCTGAGAAAAGCAACCTTTGTAAACTTCGCATACAGTTTTCGGACAATAACTTGAAATTTTCGCAGATGCGATATGAACGATGTACACAAGAAGCCGTTTTTACTAATCAAGACTTTCATATAACAAATACTATAAAAATGCCATATCCTCGGCAGTAATAAACTGCGTACTAATTTGATCTTATTCCACAATGTTCATAACTTATTAGAGTCTATATGATGCAAACTATCTTGACTGACAAATCCATTAAGTATCTATAGTATTTCCCTCGTTGGTGAATAAAATATATTACATAAGTGTCGAAGACATGCAATAATAAAGAACAGTGTTATCTAAAAATTCGTCAGTATAATTGGTTTTACTTTGATCATTTCATTCTGAATAATGTTTATCAGAAACTGCACTCTTCAAATAGTAAATCATAAAATGACAAAAATTGAATAATATTTTTTTTTCATGTTAATCTCTTCTTCTAAAACAAACAAAAAAATATCAAAATTATATATCTCTCATTTAGACAATTACATTGGGAAGTTCAAGATTATTTATCAAAAAATAAATCCACAACAACAACAGGTAATGATGATGAATCATCGAATATAGCAATAGATGAATCTGCTAAATTATTCGATTCATATAAAACTGTACGTTCAAATACATTAACATCAACAAATGTTGATCCAAATGCAAAACAACAAGATTTACAATTACCAGCTATGGTTATGTTAACATCTAAAACTGCTAATCAACAATTTTTATTACGTATTCTTAAAGTTATTATACAATTACGTGAAGCAACTAAAAAAGAACAACTTGATACACAAACACATTTTGAAAATGAACTTCATACATTAACACGTCGTCTTGATACATTACGACAATCATTACGTTCACATATACCAACTGATAATAATAATCAACAAAATGAAATTTTACAACCTATTGATGATTTATCAAATCGTTTAGAACAAATGCGTACACGTTTACAAACAATATTAAATTCGAATACAATTGAACAACGTCAACAATTATTTTCTCAACGTGAAACAATAAATGATATTCAAGATATATATCGTTTAATTCGACAACTTGAATCATTAATTGAAAATTTACATGAACCATCATTAGCAACAACAACAACAACAACAACAACTATGACAACACGTATAAATGATGTTTTACAAACAATACCACCATTATTTCCACAAATAATTGAACCAATGGATATAGGACAATATTTACCAACACAACAAGTTAAATTAAGTGATTTATTAAATATAAATCAATTATGGGATTCATTAAGTGATTGTTTATTATCATTAGCTAAATTACCTGATCCACATGCTGTTTTAGTACTTCAACCAGCTGTTGAAGCTTTCTTTCTTGTACATGCTGCTGATTTAGATAATGAAAATGATAAAACAAATCGAAAGAAAAAAGATCGTGAAACACGTGAAGGATTAGCACATTTAGAATGTTTTGGTCCAGCACCAACAACAACAACCGATGAACAATCAACAGCAATCGTAACAGAAACAACAGCAACAAATGATACATCAGTACCAACACTTGTTTTACGTACAAATAGTATACAATCAATATCAACAAATGATTTACCATTAGATGCACAAAAATTTGTTGAATTTGCACGTACACATCGTACTGTATTAAATCAAATTTTACGTCAAAGTACACAACATTTAAGTGAAGGACCATTTCATATATTAACTGATTATACATCAATACTTGATTTTGATGTTAAAAGAAAATATTTTCGTCATGAACTTGATCGTTTAAAAGAAAATATACGTGGTGAAGATTTAGCTGTACATGTTCGACGCAATAATGTATTTGAAGATTCTTATAGAGAATTAAGTCGACGTTCACCGGAAGATTGGAAACATAGATTTTATATTGTATTTGATGGTGAAGAAGGACAAGATGCTGGTGGTCTTTTACGTGAATGGTATTCAATAATAGCACGTTCAATGTTTGATCCAAATTATGCTTTATTTATGATTAATCCAGGTGATCGTGTTACATATATGCCTAATCCATTATCACATTGTAATACAAATCATTCACAATATTTTAAATTTATTGGACGTGTTATAGCTAAAGCTATATTTGATAATAAATGTATGGATTGTTATTTTACACGTTCATTTTATAAACATATACTTGGTATACCTGTACGTTATACAGACATGGAATCTGTTGATTTACAATTTTATAAAAATTTAGTTATATTATTAGAAAAAGATATACATCAATTAGGTTTAGATTTAACATTTTCATTAGATGCAAGTGAATTTGGTGTTAATAAAGTTATTGAATTAATACCAAATGGTTCAACTATACCTGTGACAAATGAAAATAAACATGAATATGTTCGACTTGTTTGTCAAGAAAAAATGATTGGTTCTATTCGACTACAAATTAATGCATTTTTAGAAGGTTTTTATACAATTATACCAAAAAGTTTAATATCAATATTTAATGAACAAGAATTAGAATTATTAATATCTGGTTTACCAGATATTGATATTGAAGATCTTAAAGCAAATACAGAATATCATAAATATAGACCAAATTCTTTACAAGTAAAAACAAATTTTCTTTTTCGTTTTTTGCTCTTGTAGAACTCACATTATGAATATAGATATAGAAAGTAGAAGTTTTACGGCTCGATTCTTATAACCCCATTGAAGACAATAGATATCAGACTTCTTCGCTAGAGTTCCTTAGTAAATGGAAAATGACGTTGCGCAGGCATCAACAAGATTTAGACTTCTAAAAACATTCTAAAGCTTTCCTTTAAAATTTGAATGACTGCAATATATTTTTGTTTAAATGAAAATTTATTTGATAGATATCTATATGCAATATAACATTGAGACTTATTATAGATATAATGAGCATGTATAACAGGCTTATTAGTCAGTTAAATCAATGATTAATATTCTAACCTCAAAGAGATTGTGCTAACAAGTCTTGTTTTTTTTTTTGCTTAATGGTATAAAATACATATTCTTTTGTATTTAGGTTCAATGGTTTTGGCGTGCATTACGATCACTTGATAAAGAAGATTTAGCAAAATTTTTACAATTTGTTACAGGTACATCAAAAGTGCCATTACAAGGTTTTGCTCATTTAGAAGGTATGAATGGTGCACAAAAATTTCAAATACATCGTGATGACCGATCAACTGATCGTTTACCATCAGCTCACACTTGGTAGGATATTATTCGTTTTTTTTTTGTTTTGTTTTAATACAATCTATATAATTTATTTTTTTCTTGTGTTTAGTTTCAATCAACTTGATCTCCCAGCTTATGAAAGTTATGATAAATTACGTAAAATGCTTTTAATCGCAATTCGTGAATGTGCTGGATTCGGATTTGCTTAAAAACAAAAGACATGTTCTGTCTATGACCTGTTAAAGCAACAGCTAGTCTTTCGCCGTTATTTGCTATTTTGTTGTGTTTTTTTTTTCTTTTTTTCTTTCTTTCTCTATATATGTTCTCGTTTTTTTTTCGAATATCATGAAACGGATATTAGAACTCTCACATTCTCTCCTTTGGTTGGCATTGATCAATATTAGATTGATTGACAGTGAATTTTTCCTTGTGCGCCGGTCATTTTTTTTCCTTTTAATCCGATCTATCCAACGGTTCTGTTCATTTGTGTGTGTGCGTGTGTGTTTGTGTGTGTTTTCTCTCTTTCTCTATATATAAATCTTTATGCGCTGTAGATGCATTCTTTGGCTAGCGGTATTCTAATCCGCATTGTTCTCTTCATGGTTACTATTATTCTTTTCATGTTATTTGAGTAGAGAAAAAACAAAACCATATGGATGTTCGGCGCTCTATTTCTATTTTATGTATATAAATAAACGAGAGAAGAGGAATTTTTTGAAGTTTTTATTTACTTATTTATCCTAGAGAAGTTGTTTTTATCTGAACTTCCTCCATAATGAGATTCTAAAAGTAAACTCAGAAATGATAAACTAATTATTTTAATGTTGAAGTAAATGCAAATAGAAACAGTATATCCGAAGGCAATCGAGAAGCAGCATGGCATTTTCCTAGAATCCATTAGTATCTTTTTGTAGACTGTAACAATGGATAACAATACGTTTACAATCAGCAAAAGCCATTATTGAGAGCGCTTTTGTTTAATATACTCATCAATGAAAGACTCAAAACAAGTGCTAAGATTTATGATAATTGTTTTTCCTTGTTCATGGATATTGGTGAATGTCTCAAGAAAACGAAAGGAAACATGTCGTAGGTGAAATGAGAAATACATCATAATTGAAAACTTCGAGTTTACAAGTCCGGCTACTTTCCTATATCAGAAAGGGTACAAGTATCAGATGAGTAAATTACAACTATCAGGCAATATATTGGATTCATCATTGTTTCTCTCTGAATAACAAGTTCATCATGTTGTTCGGTATTGTTCTTTTTTTCTTATTGTAGAATAAAATGTCAAATTTGTACAGTTACTTTCAACGCGTTGAGCCCAAAAAAATGGCATCTACAACGGCAAATGATGGATCAAATAGTCAAGCAAATAATACACCCAAACATGATAATAATGGATTTAAAAAAAAGAATCAAACACCAAAAGAATCATTAACATCATCACGTAAATCAATGAATATGAGTGATGTCTATAGTGCTGATTCACCTAAATCTGAAAAACGAAAACAATCATCAACTATTACAACAGATGATCATGATGCATTACCAAAAAATAAAAGTAAGACAATCATATAAACAAAAACAAAAAAAAATTATTATTATTATTATTTTCTAATATAGAACGAAAAACACTTAATGCACGAAATGAATCAGATAATGATGATGATGATGATGATGAACCAGAACTTAAAGTTAGCAAAGTAAATATAAAATTTATTGAATATGAAAAACAAAACAAAAGATAATCAAATTTTTTTTAGAGTCAAAATCGAAAACGTATTGCTATTCTTGATAGCGATGAGGAAGAATTAGAGAACGGTAGAATATTTTTCATATGTTATATTTTTTTTAAATTTATTATTTTCATAGATCGTATGGATGTTGATGTTACACCATTAAATAAAAAAACAAGTAAAACTAAAAATGATACAAAAACAAAAGGTAATAATTCGACTCGAACATCAAGAAAGAAAAAAACTGAAGAAATTGAAGATGAAGAGGCTTTATACAATGATGGTTCAGCAGATGAAAATGATGAAAGTGAACCTGAAGAATATGAAGATGATAATGAAGATCAAGTACAAATAAATTTTATTCATATAAAAAACAAAAACACTTGTATTTTATTTTTATGAAAGACGAAAACACCAAAACGTCGAACAACAACTTTAAATCGAAACAAAAAAGCAGCAAAACATGCTAATGATAGCAACTTTACCCATCTTTCTTTAGATTTTCTCAAAGATGGAAAACGACGGTAAGTTTAATGTTGAAATTTTCTTATTTAATATAAGATTTGTTATCGTAACATGCCACTATTGATTTTGACGTTAATTTTTTTTTTGACATAAATCGAATTATAATCATCTACATTTAGAATATTCTTTTTTGACCTTGTCAAATTGTTTTCTCTGCAACGAAGATTTCATTTATTACTCTATCAATTTTTATTTTATTTTCAATATATTTTATATAATTATGTTACAATTAATTAACATTTTCAATGAATACAACGATTTTGACTATTTTTTAATAGATAAAAATGAAAGTAGACTTGACTAGATTCTATAAAATTTGATTTAATCGATTAGTTTGATTTTTATTCATCGATATTGAATAGTATTTATCCTATAATAAAATATCACTACGATCTAGGTTTTGTGTAACAGAAAATTTTCCTTATAACACTCAATGACATGTTCATTTGTTTTGTATTTCATAGTGATGCTAATCGTCGTCTTCACACTGATTCAAGTATGTTCATTAATGAAACTGACTTCTATTGAATTGTTTTCTATTGTTTTACTATTCATTATCTAGACTATGATTCACGTACATTGTATGTTCCAGACGAGTATCTTAATACTCTTACACCTGTAAGTTGTATTAATGATACTTTTATATCAATCTATACAAATGTTTTGTCTTCTTTTTTCAAGGCAATGCGTCAATGGTGGACAATGAAAATGGAATATTTTGATACAATTCTTTTTTTTAAAGTAACTATTTCTTCTTTATATTCGTATTGTACAATGATTGTTTTTTTATACTATAGGTTGGAAAATTCTATGAACTTTGTATGTTAATGATTTTAGACTTTTAAAAAAGATTGAATTTTTTCTTCGATTTTTAATAGATAATATGGATGCTGCTATTTGTGCACCAGAATTAAATTTAACAATGATGAAAGGTATAAAATTCTACTGATTTTATTTTAAACATATTTAAGTATTCTTTAATCAAAGGTGAAGTGGCTCATTGTGGTTTTCCTGAAAAAGCATATAGTAAATTTGCTGATATACTTGTTACAAAAGGTTATAAAGTAGCACGAGTTGAACAAACAGAAACACCAAATATGATGAAAGAACGTCTTGAACAAGGTATGCATATAACTATATTTATTTATTTTTATATATAAATTTTTTCAATAATGAATTTTTTTATAGAAAAAGGACGAAAAAATAAATTTGATAAAACAGTACGTCGAGAAATTTGTCAGATAACTACGCCCGGTACAAAAACATTTAATACATTAGATAATGATAATGTGTTTCGTGAAAGTTTATATTTATTATGCATTGTTGAAGTGGTATGTTTATTTTAATAATAAAAGAATAAAAATGATAGGATTTTCTTTTCTTTTTTTATTTTAGCCAATTAATGATAATAAAATAACACCATGTGAATTCGGTGTATGTTTTGTTGATACAACTATTGCACAATTTTATGTATGTTTGAAGACTTTGTAAAAGTTTTTGCTATGAATTTTTTTTTTCGTTTAGATTGGCCAATTTGAAGATGATCGATATTTATCACGTTTACAAACTTTACTTGCTCAATATCCACCAGCACAAGTAACATTCGATTTCTTTTTCTTTTTTCTTTTTAAATAAATATTATTTATATTTTTATTAGATTTTATGTGAAAAGAATAAATTATCAGAAAAAACGAAAAAAGTTTTAACATTAACTCATGCTAAAATGGAATATTTAATAGCAAATAAAGAAATGTATGAAACAACAAAAACACTTGATATTCTTCGAGATGATACATATTTCAAAGATGAAAAAGGAAATCTTCAATGGCCAGATGCTTTTCAACGTGTTTTTAATGAAGGTAAAGAATTAACCTGTGGTGCGAAAGTCTTGCCACAAAATATTCACTCATTTTTCGATCATTAAAAATAACTAGTTTTTCTTCTGAACTAAGATTAAACAACTATCAGTTAAATTTTGTAAAAGTTCAAAATTGTGTCAGTACAAAGCAAAATAATGCTTTTCACGCATTCTGTAGCTTGTGTACTGAAACTTGAGTCTGTCGAATTGATCTCGGACCTTATGAGCTCAATTTATAACAGCTTCAACTCAACATTATGGCAGAACATGAAATTCTGTACAAAATAAGATATTACAACACACGGAATTTTATCTATGCGTTTGCACTAAAGAACTAGTTGCTATAGAAATCTGCATTCATGCAGAAAAAAAAATCTCTTTTTCAAAAACTGTTTTAAAATATACAAAAGTTTAAAAATTTGTCATGTAGAAGTAAATAACACTCTTTGTAGAGCAAACAAAACTGAAGCATTAAAATTCGTTTCGTATTATGAATTTAATACGCTTCAATCGACACATAAAATTCACCTAAATAGTGTTCTGTACAAGCACTATGTTGAACCTTTTGAAACAATATGATGACATTTATTCAATCCTATTTTAGAAGAAAATTTTAATTCTAAGTACTGCTTCGGGCTAGAGACGTATAGAATAGGCTGGAGGTAAGAAAATATTTTTCAGCCATGGTCAATGTACGACAAAAGCTTACCGTATACATCTTTACTTTGGACTCTAACGAACTGTCCTTAAATAGTCGAAGAATGAGTGAATATTTTATGCCAAAACTCTCGTACTATAAGTTATCTATAAAATTGAATCGTTTATTTTTTTTTAAATATCCATAGGTGATCAACAAGGTTTACATGTTCGTTCAAACTTTCAATTATCGATGCGAGCATTAGGTGGTATTATTTGGTAAGTTTATTGATAGTATTAAATTTTTAATAGAATTATTTATTTAGGTATTTACAACATTGTCTTGTCGATAAAGAACTTTTATCAATGCGTAAATTTTCAATATTTCAACCACCTGATGAAAATATTGAACTTAAAGAAGCATCAACATTTAAACAACAAAATATGG